GTCGCCAAAAGCTTCAGAAACGGCGCCTTCGCCACACCAAAGCAGCAGGGCCCTGAGGGACGGACTGGGCCTGTGGGCCACGGGCCCCACTGCCTAACGTTGCTTTCTGAACCTACAAGAAAACTAGCTGTCTGAGCTGTCTTCCAGTCGCCAAAAGCTTCAGAAACGGCGCCTTCGCCACACCAAAACAGCAGGGCCCTGAGGGACGGACCGGGCCTGCGGGCCACGGGCCCCACTGCCTAACGTTGCTTTCTGCACCTACAAGAAAACTAGCTGTCTGAGCTGTCTTCCAGTCGCCAAAAGCCTCACAAACGGCGCCTTCGCCACACCAAAACTGCAGGGCCCTGAGGGACGGACTGGGCCTGCGGGCCACGGGCCCCACTGCCTAACGTTGCTTTCTGAACCTACAAGAAAACTAGCTGTCTGAGCTGTCTTCCAGTCGCCAAAAGCTTCAGAAACGGCGCCTTCGCCACATCAAAACAGCAGGGCCCTGAGGGACGGACTGGGCCTGCGGGCCACGGGCCCCACTGCCTAACGTGGCTTTCTGAACCTACAAGAAAACTAGCTGTCTGAGCTGTCTTCCAGTCGCCCAAAGCTTCAGAAACGGCGCCTTCGCCACACCAAAACAGCAGGGCCCTGAGGGACGGACTGGGCCTGCGGGCCACGGGCCCCACTGCCTAACGTTGCTTTCTGAACCTACAAGAAAACTAGCTGTCTGAGCTGTCTTCCAGTCGCCAAAAGCCTCACAAACGGCGCCTTCGCCGCACCAAAACTGCAGGGCCCTGAGGGACACACCAAAACTGCAGGGCCCTGAGGGACGGACTGGGCCTGCGGGCCACGGGCCCCACTGCCTAACGTTGCTTTCTGAACCTACAAGAAAACTAGCTGTCTGAGCTGTCTTCCAGTCGCCAAAAGCTTCAGAAACGGCGCCTTCGCCACACCAAAACAGCAGGGCCCTGAGGGACGGACTGGGCCTGCGTGCCACGGGCCCCACTGCCTAACGTTGCTTTCTGAACCTACAAGAAAACTAGCTGTCTGAGCTGTCTTCCAGTCGCCAAAAGCTTCACAAACGGCGCCTTCGCCACACCAAAACAGCAGGGCCCTCGGCGCCTTCGCCACACCAAAACTGCAGGGCCCTGAGGGACGGACTGGGCCTGCGGGCCACGGGCCCCACTGCCTAACGTTGCTTTCTGCACCTACAAGAAAACTAGCTGTCTGAGCTGTCTTCCAGTCGCCAAAAGCCTCACAAACGGCGCCTTCGCCACACCAAAACAGCAGGGCCCTGAAGGACGGACTGGGCCTGCGGGCCACGGGCCCCACTGCCTAACGTTGCTTTCTGAACCTACAAGAAAACTAGCTGTCTGAGCTGTCTTCCAGTCGCCAAAAGCTTCACAAACGGCGCCTTCGCCACACCAAAACTGCAGGGCCGTGAGGGACGGACTGGGCCTGCGGGCCACGGGCCCCACTGCCTAACCTTGCTTTCTGAACCTACAATGTTGCTTGTAATCTCTTCTCTGACGCGCTCCCCCTGCTGTCGGCAGGGGTCGGCGGATATATATTATACACATAGTAAATGATATAGGGATGCCTTGGATTGGAGCACCCTCAGATCCTTAAAGAAGGTCGTTTTAGCGCCAGCATAGACCTCAGCAAGAAGTATTCGTGGGCAGCACTTTGTGTCGTTATCCAAATGTTTTTTCTAACGCGCACAGCACTCCGACAGCACCCTGCAGCGGAACCCTGCAGCGACACCAGCACTCCAAAACGCAAAAATGCAACTCTTCTCATACTTGAAGAAGCCCAATAGCTTCGCGAAAAAGGGAATCACAAGACCCAAAGGATGCCGCTTTGAGAAGTTTTAGGATGTTTTAGAATTTGAGCCTTCGACAGCGCTTTTGAAGAATCGCGTTCCGCGTAGATCACAGTGATCACATTCTGCATCACGTGCATCCAGGTGCTGATCAATGGCAAGAACGGGTCATCAAGTGAGGCCACCGGCAGCACAAAAACAGTGCGCTTATGACAGGTATAATTCAGGTATGCTCCATGTCACTCCATGTTCAACTGGTATCTACTATGATTCATTATGATTCTACAATATTCTACATGTATCTACTATGAAATTATGAAACCACCTGTGATGAATCTGACTCAGATTTGTTCACCATGACCCTGCCGGTGTCTACGGTGCCTGTGGCAGCCACATTTTTTGCCCCTGGGCAGCGTGCAAGAGCGCAGACGTTGACTCCAATTTTCGGACGGGACAGATGCGACAGATGCGACTTGGAGAGCACGGATCTTCCAACGTCAGGAGTAGAACTACTACATTTTTTCTTCTCAGTTTTCTGTCGGTTGAATTGCGACCTGTGGTACAAAGAGAAGAGACCAGAATCATTAGCAAGCGCAACACCCTTGCAATTCATGAAAGTTTCGACTATATGGCATACCTGTGGTATTAGACGACCTATCACTCCACTGACTGACCATTGACCATTGACTGTTGGTACAAGATTTTAGGGCGGCAATGATGTCACTAAGAGTCAGTTTACTGGTTCAGATATTGTTTCGTTTGAAACCACTGCATGACTCTCCGCAATTGACGACCATACTTTGGGAATGCAGTGCCACCTTTTCTGTTGGAAGGTCACGCTCGCAGTGCACTAAAGGTGCACAGTGAACTTTTTGGTGATGAGTTCCAAGCATCCAAGTAAATTGTATGTCAAACAAAAGAATGAAATTGATCCTAAAATATGAAGATTGAGATCCGAAAGTTTGAAGGATGTAAGGATGAAGCTAAAGATGAATGCCCCTGCAATAAATGGCCGAAAACACAGATATGTGTTCACGGTAAGCAGCTAAGATGTTCAAACGACACTACGGAAGTGCCGAGAGTCAGTCAGAGTTTTTTTGCTCAGATGGAAGGGGATAGCACTGAACCTTGGAAATTTGGCGCTCCCAAAACAAAATTTGCTCTCGAACCTTTGCTGCCTTTGCTCTTACACTTTCAAAATTCCTGGATTTTGTTTGCGTTTTGGCTGCTTGGGATTTAAAGGTAAGTGTTTGAAGCACTGCGTCCCATGGAAGATTTAAACCTGGGTGAATCCAGGGCTGGAAGGTTTCTTAGAAGCGATGTGATGCGATGTGTTTTGTGTTGGAAGCATTCGGACAGCGGTTCTTGGATTGAACCGTTTGAACCGATTGAACCGTCGGAAAATGGACTCAGCTGCCTGCTCTGAGGACATGTGACGTTTGCCACAGTTTGTTGACATCGTTTTTGTGTGGAAGCTTTTTGGATGTTGTGACCATGAAACCAATGGAAACCAACACATGTGAAATTGGTGACAAATCTCCTCGATTTCATACTTTCATGCTTCAAATTCCTGATGTTTTTCCAGTCTGGATCTGTGAGGCCATCGCCGAAAGTCTACCACTACCGGACCAAGTTAACTCCGCATCCACAGGACAGCCATCTCCCCGGTCTCCCTTGTAGTTTTCATATGGTCATATAATAGTCATATATGAAAACAGGAATAGAACCCTTTCACAAATGGAATCTTTCAGAAGGATTTGACATCTGTGTTTCCCTCTCCCCTTGCAAAGCACGAAAATAGTGAGTTAAAATCTTGGGATGGAGCACGAGAAGCCTGGGTTGATCTTTCAAGCCAGGTATTGCATCTCATGTCTGAAATCGTTCATTCCACCGCCACATTGAGAAACCAGTCACCAAGCCACACAGGAACAATCCAGATGATTCCTGATGATTCCTGATGTACAATCTGTTCATGTCACCAGAGATCAAGAGGGATACTTCCAGTTTCGGGAAATTGCGAAGGAGCCACCTCCACGTCGACAACGGCTTGCATGGCAAGGGGGAGAGGACGGAGTTGGAGCTGGGTGAAGGATGTTTTGGTGATTGGAATGGTTAAGTTATATTGAGATGTATTCCACGATTTAGTTGAGATTACAGCTATATCCACTAGTGGGAATGGCTCTGCATCAACCAGGGGAGTTGACAGAAAAGATATGGATGGACATGGCTCAGTTGGAGCTAACAGTGTTGGGGACTTGTTGAAAATTGGGGAAGAATCTCCGACATGGCAGATATACCCAATGGCTACTGGGCTCAGGTGTTGGATCTGTTGGATCTGTTGGATCTCCCCTGGTGTGGTCCTTTCGTCACTGAAATCGACTCTGCATCCCTTGCGTTTGTATCTTGATGTGTGCATATATAGACCCCCACAAATACCATCAAATCCACACACAGAGGAGAGATATATCACGAATTATCTCGATATGTTCACCATTTTCCCATCATTTTCCTTGTTCACATGGCGTTGTTCCCATTGTTCCCATTGTTCCAAGGGAATCCCCGAAGGCGTCAGTGGACTACTCGGCCATCGGCTTCTTGGAGCAGGACAGTTGGAAGGGGAAGAGTCGAAGATCTCGAAAGATCCAGAAATCTGAAACACGGCGAAACACAGCGAAACACTATTTCGTTCTTGTTTAAACTTTGTTTAGCTTATAGTTCGTTTCTTGAATTTCTATGAAGTTGTTCTTTTGTTCTCAAGGGAATCTAGGATAGTCTGTTTAGTGGAAATGTTGGAACGTTCACACCGGGAGTTTTGATAGACCAGGTGGGTGATGGCTGAAGAGTGAAGACTTCCCAAACAATGAACTTTGAAGTTAAACCTGGTCAAAGGTAAAAATGATCAGTGTTGGAGGTGTATCCCACTCCTTTTGGATGAGGATATACGCGTCGAACAGGCTGATGTTGAGTAGCGGGAATGTTTGACATGTGTCGTGTTTTCCGTGTTTTCCTACCTTCGTTAGAAGTGCAATACATCGAAGTTTGTTAAAGGCTGAGGTCGTCGTTTCCATGGCCCAAGATTTCCTTTGGGTAGGTTTACCCCAATTCCCAGGAATGAGTTTGTTTTTGTTTCAAGTACAGAGCCATGTTGAAATCATACCATATCACACCCTGGTAGCTTTACCCAATCCCAGGGTAAAGCCTGATGTTCAATTGGTTGGGCACAGGTTGGGTCTAGTTCTGATTCAACTGATGGTTTCAGAGATCTTGTAGGACTGGGGTGATGCCCGCGATGCCTCCGGACGACGCTGGCGCAAAGTTGTGGACGTCAGGTGCGTCAGATGTGACCCTTTCGGTAGTTGCATCTTGCACAAAACAGGTGGTGTCTCTAAATACAAAGAGTCTAAGTGGATCCAACTGGCGTGCTAGGCTTGGGGGATAGTACCGGATAGTCCTAAAATATCCCAAAACAATGATGTACAAGTATCATCATCTCCACACCGCCCCAAAATATCACCTACTGCAACTTCCAACTGGAAGACTGGAACAGCACCAATGCTGTATGAATCCGGGGATACAGTGCATTGGTGATGTCGACATTTCAAGTACATCGAAACTGCTCGTTTCACAGGTCGTGCCCAATCGCGACAGAGGCTTGGCATTTTGCCGTCGCCACTCTACTGAGCCTCTCCCCAAAATGGCCAGATCCAGTATTTCCTGGGATGTGTTCATACACATAATTTATACTCGCAGTTGGTGCTGCAACTTTTTGGCTCGGATGTAGAGCATTCAGACAAGGAACTCAGGCGGGGTCGCTGTTTTGTTTGAGGCTTGAAGATGCCAGCTACGTGATATGGCAGTGACTCCCTTCACCCTAGTAATGTAGTTCACTGTAGTTCATATCAAAACAGCTGGTTGTTTGGGTGCATCGCTCCATTTGGAAAAAAAAAGTACCCATTACCAGCACCCCATTTGACTGTGGACCCTGGGGATGTTCACCCTGCAGGATTGCAGACAGCATGGAGCCTAAGAAGAGTTGCTCGGCCTCAGGTGATGAGGTCGCATGTTCCCAAGTTTTAGATGATCAGAAAGTCAGATAGTGCATGACATGCTGCAAGATAGTGCAAAGTATTGCAAAGTTCTAATCAAATCATCCCAGAATAGATGAATCATGGTGAAAGCCTTCACTGACACAGAACACTTTCGGGTCACAGGGAAGGCACAATAAAAGTGGAGAGTAGGGCGAGAGCATGGCACCTTTTGCTCGAGATGGTGAGGCTATGAAGAAGTCCATGGAAAGGCAGCTTGTCACTGAACCAGTGGTCCAGCTTCAGGGGTAGCATAGCTTGACCTGAAACCACCAACATTCACCAATTGTCTTTCAAGTGAAGCAGTAAATCTCATGTGACCGGTATAGCTGGCTGAGTCTTTCCAAGAGAAATGTAGTGCATATTTCAGCATTACTATGCATTACTCTTTCAGATTCTTGGGTGACACCGGTGGTCCAGACTGTCCCGGGTGTCCCACAGGGTGTCCCACAGGTTCCCGGAGGTCCTGTGAAAGACAGCAAGGGGTTGGCGCAGCAAACTTCTGGAAGACCAACTGGACCAACGCCAAAGAAAAGCTACGAAGAAGTCCATGGAAAGGTGCCTCCTTATACGCCGATACCCCGATACGCTGGGTTTTCTGTCGGTTGATCTGCCAATGAACGGAATTGCTAGAGTCCGGTCAGTTTGTCCACATCATTTACTAGATGTTGGAAGTGTTTTCCAGAAAAAGATCTGCACAGAGAGTGGTTCCATCTTTGTCAACCTTGACCGCACTTGAGTTGAATACACTCGACATGATGATACCTTTGAACAGTCAAGTTATATTATTGTCAAACATGTTAAATCAAGTCAAGAGCTTCAAACGCAGTAGGAGTCAGACTTGAAACATCAACAAGACGGTCAACAATCTGAGGATATCTGACAGAATCAAATTCCGTCACCACTGGGCTTCCGGTGCAGATCCCCAGCGGCCCGGTGATTGACAGCGAGGGCCTAGCGGTGCAGACGGGCTCCGGGGCACCGGTGAAGAAAAGCTACGAAGAGGTCCATGGCAAGGCCGCTCTCCCCAGGGCCAAAAAAATGGTGAAAAATTGGAGAGCACCTGCGGAAATTGGGATTTAACATGATTTAAGATGATTCAATGCAATTTGATAGGAACTCACATGGTGGAGATCAGAGGTGGGGTGATTGGGCGCACAAGAGCCGGGAAGTTTTACTGAGAGAAAAAACGGATTTAATTCATTTGACCTACATTTTTAGGAAATGGTTTTGTGGAGGGTTATGTCAACCAGAAAAGTTAGACATCTATAACTGGGGGATTGAGACCGGGACTATGGACAATAAACACTTAGATTCACCATCAATGTGCGTATCAGCCGATGCCAGCTGGATATTAGCCAGCAAATGCAGAGATGGAGTTATTAAAAAGATTCGGAGGGATTGTGAAAAGGGAAACTAGGCTTCTGCAGTCATGGATATTGGGATATGGGGATATTAGGATATCGTATCTCAGCAACACGCCCCATGCCTAGCCATGCATAGCCATGCCTAGCCATGCCTAGCCATGCATAGCCATGCGCCTTCATCACTAGTGCCATCGCCAGATGCCTGGTGGCCCTGTGATTGATGAAGAGGGCTTGGCTGTGCAATCCACCGGTGAAGACGAGCTCCTTGGCAGCGTGTTGCTGGGAACATCTGGGAGTATCTTCACCGATCTCACAGTGATCTCGCTTCTCCATCCCTTGAGGTTGGCCAAAGAAACGTGAGGGCGCCCGTGAAGCGGACGAAACTGACAATTCTTTGCGAGTAGAGTGTGTCCCACAGAATCCTCTGGTTTGAGGAAATCAACGGTGGAAAGTGCTGTAGAAAAAAAAATAAGAATTGCTAGCTGCTAAATGATTGGTGTCATTTACGCTTGATTGAAACACTGACTGGGTGAATTTGTGGGCATGCCTGTCTCTCAACTCGCACATGCCATGCGACATGCGAAATCGCATTCCAGTTTGAAGAAATCCGCCCATTTTTGGCGAGCAATTGCACAAATGCTGGCGCCACCTGTGGTGTCACAATGTGTCACACGGAAAGTTTGGATTGCGGCCCAGCTTCGTGCGAGAGTCTCCGCTGATTGATTTCAAGAGCCACGAAGGAAAAAGGCAGCCTTGATGAAACAGAAAAGAATTGCCACAGAATGGATTAGCACCCAGCTTGATATAGACCGTCAGCCAGTGAGGAGAAATATGGAGAAATAGAAACAGCAATGTCTGGAAGGCAGCTTCCCAGTGTTGACAGGACAATCAGGATGGAATCAGCGACACAATGAGTTCCACTTCCGTCAGGCTTTAAATGAGGCCTTGCCCGCGGAACGGACGAAGGCTGGGGAAGTTCCCATGACTTCATGGCTGGCAACCTTTCAGATGTTGTAGCCGTGGAGAACTGAGCCATGAACTCATGGGCCTTGAGAAGAATCCTCCTTGTGGAATCAAACACTGCAAAAATATGCATATGTTTTGGCCGTTTTGGACCTTAGAATTCACAACCTGGACAATTTTGCTCAACCACTTCGGCCTGACACCAAAGTTTTTTCACTCCCATTGTGAGGCCAAATCTGGACGCCTGAGCGGGCCATTGCTTCTTCGTCGGGCAGCCCAATGATGGGTCAATAATGACAAGGTCTACCTGTAAAGAATGGATGATATGAATATATATATATATGAATCATATAGGATGCAGGCCCCTCAAAATCGGGAAAATCCACTGAATTTTTGGAAGTCTCATTCTTGGAGATTGGTGTCGATTTGAGCCACCTTCTTGCTCTGGCGGACGTATGGGGAGCAGATTGGGAGATGGGGATACCGGGATAGAGTTGTCTGGTTTGAAACCCTTTTGTATCACAATCATGAATATCAAGAAGTTGATCAATTCAGCTGTTTCACGACTTTTGGACCCACGCAGCGCAGACCTTTGAAACGAATTAAAGTGGAAATTTCAACTGAGGTAACAGGGACCTCTAAAGCTGAGATGTTGAACCATGGTCCAAGGAGATACCACGGAAGACGGAGTGGCAGCAGACTCAGAGCCGGTTTCACAGTCGCAGCGACCATCAGAGATGCTGGGACATCTTTAGAAAATCAGCTCTAATTTCATCCATTTTCCCCAATCCAGATCAGTGAAAGTAATTTGTGTCTTAGTGAAAGTATCTCCACTTCATAAGACAACCCCAGTCGAGGTGACGGATCCTCAGCAGGTGGTCACCGAAGTGTTGTCAGAGCTTGGGGTCAGGGACCCTCAGACCCTCAGACCCTCAGATCTCAAAGATATGTCATGATGTGTCTATGAAAAGAAGGACCACAAAGAAACCAGATTTTCATAGGGAAAACGGGAAAACGATGATTGAACTGTAGATTTCGGGGTACCCTATTTCAGACATCCCCACGTGGCAAATAAGCAGCGCTGGAGGTTGCAACCACAAGCTGGATCCAACAAAGATGAGGCTATCACTATCACCAAATGGAGATGGTGATACAAGCCTCAAAAAAAAGCATCAAATCGTCTCGTCGAAACCAACAAGCAGCTAGTAGTCCGAGCATAAGTTAATTGTCCAAAGCTGTTCTCCAGGGTTTTGCAGTCCAAGAGTCTTTGCGCGTTGAGCAATCTGAGGCCTTTTCCTTCAGAGCTGGCGGTTTTTTCCAGAACAACTCCTCCATTCTGCCGGCCTTTGTTCAGTTCCAGCCTCAGAACAAAAACACAACAAAACAATACAAAACAGTTGACAAAACATCTGCCCAGCCCAGGCACGTGCTGTCAGCTGCTGTGCAGGACTCACCAGAGGTGCTCCACGGGCCAAGACGGATGCTTTACCGTAAGTGCGAGGAGTGCAACGGAAATGCCGCCATCTTCAGGAACCTCCAAAAGCGGAGGAAAATGATAAGAAATGCATGGAATATGCCTATGCCTAGCCTCCAATGCGCCGCGATCACCGCGATCCCCAGTTGAACACGCTACAACGGTAACACGATGCCGGGCAGGTCCTGGTGGATTTGTACTGCGGTGTGGGGCTCTTCTCTCTTTCTGGAGCCAACCACTTCCAGCGGATTTTCGGGGTGGAGGCAGCGACTGGGAAGACTGGGAAGACTGGGAAGACCGGGAAGACTGGGAAGACTGGGAAGACTGGGAAGGGATGGTGGGAAAACACAAATTGAACCCTCACAGGACGATAACTACGACCGGCTCTTTCACAGATGACAAATCATATCGACACCGACCATCTTGACTTGAAATGGGAGTTACAGCTATGACCGCTTTGAAAGTCCAATAGGTTTGCTTTGACCCGCTTTGACCATGCCCATTGATCCCATTGATCCCATTGATCCCCTCGTGCAGGTGGAACCTGTTGCTGTAAACCTGGCGCGTGCAGCACTGGATTGCCATCGGATGTCGTATTTGTCCAAAATTGAAAGTGTACACAGTGCACGTGGATGTACATGGTGTATCTTTATTCCAAAAAAGTGTTCAATATGTTTTGTACTGCGCCATACTGTACTTTGGATCCATGTTGGGTTTATGGTTGAAATCGTTCAGAAAATTGACCCAGTCCCAGAAAAAAGTACCGATTTCCCAGGCCGCAATGCGGCAGCCCACGGCCATGGCCATGTGCAGTTTCTGGCAGCCGATGCTGCAAATGGCCTCAGGCGATCCTGGCTAGTTTGAAATAGGGGCATGATATGATAGTACATTGATAGTATTGGATAAATCATAGCCGAAGGAAGTTTAGAAGTCAAACTTCCGACAAGACAGATGGAAAAGCAGAGGTGGGAAGAGTCAGAGAAGAGAAGAGAAGAGAAGAAGAGAGAAGATCAGAGAAGAGAAAGAGTCAGAAGAAAGAAGATGCAGGTGCGTGAAAAGGTAGAAAAGTCGCGAATCACTGTGTTTTTCTAATGATTTGTGGCTCCGGAGGGTGGAAAAGTAGGCTCGCTAAAGCGGTGGGTGGGGGGTCATCTGGCCGGATGAGAGATAAAAAAATGCACGCTGTTGCGGCGCGAAGCACATTTCCAAATCAAAATGCACCAAACACCTCATGCTCGGACCACTTTTGGAAGTTGAAATGTCGAAAAAATGCACGCAGTTGTGGCGCGAAGCGCATTTCGAAGTCAAAACATGCAAAGCACCTCAGTGTCGGAGCGCTCTTGGCAGTTGACATGTTGAAAACAAGATGAAGCCCACGAACCCGAATGCTCACACGTATGTTAATGGTACAGATGTCAAAACACATGGTTATGCAGTCACGCACAATACCTTTCTGCAATAGTTTATTTGAACAGTCTTGTACATGTTTCCCTTGTTACCAGTCTGCAGTGTGGAGTGGAAAGTGTAGAGTGTGGAGTGTGGAGTGTGAAGTAAGGAGTGTGGAGTGTAGAGTGTGGAGTGGGGAGTGTAGAGTGTGTAAAGTGTAGAATGCGGAGTGTAAAGTTTAGAGTGTGGAGTATGGAGTGTAAAGTGTAGAGTGTGGAGTGTAGAGTGTGGAGTGTGGAGTGTAGAGTGTGGAGTGAGGAGTGTAAAGTGCAAAGTGTGGAGTGTGGAGTGTAAAGTGTGGAGTGTAAAGTGTGGAGTGAGGAGTGTGGAGTGTAAAGTGAGGAGTGTAAAGTGTGGAGTGAGGAGTGTGGAGTTTGTAAATTGTAGAGTGTGAGGTGTGGAGTGGAAAGTGTAGAGTGTGGTGTGTAGAGTGTGGAGTGTAAAGTGTGGAGTGTAAAGTGTGGAGTGAGGAGTGTAAAGTATAAAGTGTGGAGTGTGGAGTGTAAAGTGAGGAGTGTAAAGTGTGGAGTGAGGAGTGTGGAGTGCAAAGTGTAGAGTGTAAAGTGTAAAGTGTGGAGTGGAAAGTGTAGAGTAGAGTGTGGAGTGTGGAGTGTAAAGTGAGGAGTGTAAAGTGTGGAGTGTGGAGTGTAGAGTGTGTAGTGTAGAGTGTGGAGTGTAGAGTGTAAAGTGTAGAGTGTAAAGTGTAGAGTGTGGAGTGTAGAGTGTAAAGTGACGAGTGTAAAGTGTGGAGTGAAGAGTGTAAAGTGTGGAGTATGGAGTGTAAAGTGTGGAGTGTGGAGTGTGTAAAGTGTAGATCGTGGTGGAGTGTGTAAAGCGCAGTGTGGTGGAGTATGGAGTGTGGAGTGTAGAGTGTGGAGTGCGGAGTGCAGAGTGCGGAGTGTAAAGTGTGGAGTGCATTGGTGCGGCAGCCACACAAAAGAACTTTCGACACGGTTTAAAACAGGTTGGAATGTCACAAAGCGCCACGCCTGCCATGCAAAACGACGTGACAACCTGCCTGAAAACCTTTGAAAAGGAAAGGTTTTGCAGCTTCCCCCGTATACACGGCGACGCCACAGGAAAACCAGCGACTCGAGACAAGACACGTGGATGCAGAAAAACCAGCATTTCGTACGAGACTTCCTCCAATTTTCACAGTTGGCAACATGACAAAAGGACAAGTTTTGCAGCTTCCCCCATAGACACGGCGAGGCCACAGGAAAACCAGAGACGCAAGACGAGACAGGTGGGAGCACCAAAACGAGCATTTCGTGCGAGACTTCCTCCAATTTTCACTCTTTGTAGCTTCAAAATCGACGTTTTCCTACGAGTTTTCCTTAGAACATGAAAATTTGCAACTTCAAAATCGATGTTTCGTGCTAGGCTTCCGTCAATTTTCAGCACATCGCACAAAATGCCACGGCTGCCACGGAATTTGCACCTTGTCGCCACTTGACGCAGCCCTGCCATTGCGATTTACAAAAAACACGCAACACGACACGTCTAAAGTGCTGCGCCTGCCACGAAAAATGACGATGGACACGTCAAAAGTGCTGCGCTTGCCACGAAAAATGCAACACATCTTCTGAAAACGTCGCAAAAGTATTGCGCCTGCCACAAAATGTCACGAAGTGCCACGCCTGCCACGCGAAAGGAAGCAACGAGACGTCTGAAACCTCCAAAAATGACCACCTCTGCAGAACTTACCATAGGCACGGCCATACGGTCCTCACACGAACGGTTGCGAACGGTTGCGAACGGTTGCGGACGGTTGCGACCGTGAACGCAACGTCGAGCGAACGCACTCTCAACCCCCAGACCCCCAGAGTGAAACGGGAACCCTTGCTACGCATTCGGGAAAAATGCACGCTGCTGTGACAGCACTGCTGTGGCGGAAAGCACATTTCGAAGTCAAAACGCGCAAAACACTTCAGTGTCGGTTCACTTTTGGCAGTTGGCATGTTGATAAAAATGCGCGGTGTTGTGGCGGGAAGCACATTTTGAAGTCAAAATGTGAAAAACATACCACGCTCGGGCCACCTGTGGACGTTGAGCTGCACCACGCTACACCACACTACACCACACTACACTCACTACACTCACTACACTCACTACACTCACTACACTCACTACACTCACTACACTCACTACATTCACTACACTCACTACACTCACTACACTCACTACACTCACTACACTCACTACACGCACTACACTACACGCACTACACGCACTACACTACACTACACTACACTCACTACACTCACTACACTCACTACACTCACTACACTACACACTCACTACACCCACTACACTACACTCACTCACTCACTACTTACTACAATCACTACACTCACTACACTCACTACACTCACTACACTCACTACACTCACTACACTCACTACACTCACTACACTCACTACACTCACTACACTCACTACACTCACTACACTCACTACACAACAAGAACAAAAACAAGAACAAAAACAACAACAAGAACAACAACAACAACAACACCACCAACAGCAACAACAACCACAACAACAACACCAACAACACCAACAACACCAACAACACCAACAACACCAACAACACCAACAGCAGCAACAGCAGCAACAGCAACAGCCACAGCCACAGCGACTACGACAACCACAACAACCACAACAACCACAACAACCACAACAACCACAACAACCACAACAACCACAACAACCACAACAACAAGCACAACAAGCACAACAAGCACAACAACCACAACAACCACAACAACCACAACAACAAGCACAACAACCACAACAACCACAACAACAAGCACAACAACCACAACAACCACAACAACCACAACAACCACAACAACAACCACAACAACGACAACGAAAACAAACACACCAAACACAGCAGCCACAGCAGCCACAACAACCACAACAACAACAACAACAACAACAACAACAACAACAACAACAACCGACGACGACGACGACTACTACAACTACAACTACAACTACCCGTACAACTACAACAGCTACAACTACAATTGCAGCTACGACTACAACTGCAACAGCTACCACTACACCAAACTACAACTCCAACTCCACATCCAACTCCGACCCCAACTCCAACAACAACAACAACAACAGCAACAGCAACAGCAACAGCAACTACAACTACAACTACAACAACTACAACTACAACTACAACTGCAACTGCAACTACAACAACTACAACTACAACTACTACTACTACTACTACTACTACAACTACTACTACTACTACTACTACTAATACTACTACTACTACTACTACAACTACTACTACTACTACTAATACTACTAATACTACTACCGCTACTACTACAACACTACACCACACTACAACTACAACTACAACAACTACTACTACTACTACCACCACCACCACCAGCTAGAAGTAGTATTACTACACTACATTACAACTACAACTACCACTACAACTGCCACTACAACTCCTCTACCCTCACTACACTACACCCACTTCACCAGGCTACACGACACTACACCACCACTACACTACAGTACGCTACAACTGCAACTACAACTCCAACTACAACTACAACTACTACAGCTACAGCTACAACTAAAACATCATCAACTACAGCTTCAGCTACACTACAACTTGAACTAGAACCATAACTACAACTGCATTACTCTTTGCTGCACCACACTACATCCAGCAGTTGTGGTCGAGGTGACCACTGCAACCACTCCAAAAAACACAGCTCCAACCAGCTTTCTGTCCATCTGCGGATTCGCTCTGCCATCCATGCATCACAACAACTCACCTCTCCTATAGTTTCCTCTCTTTGAAACTTCCACCACCGCCTTGTGCGGTCCTACTGGTATGGGATATCGAGGGATATTGAGGGATATTGCGGGATATTGAGATATGTTGAAATTAGATTTTGGGTGATGGGTGTTTGATGGGTGAACTTTGGAATTCAAGAGCATCAATTGGTGAAATGATATGTTGGGTAGAGCTTACAAGAGTGGAAATTTAATGGCTACATAGCAAATTTTAGCAAATCATGTTTGTGTATCCTGGCTTCTGTGTTCCTCAAAAGACAGTGGAATGGCAGACTTTGGGGGTCACCAAGATTCAGGAGGCTCTTGAATATGACGCCATGACAGTTCTCAGGAAGGATTCTTGTCACAAGTGTGCGACCCCATTTGGAGACATACTTTGGCACACAAATGGGAATCCAGGTTCACAGCAAGATGTCCCGTGTAAAAAGATTAAGCTGTCAGTGAGTCAGGGAAGTTGCAAGATCATTGCGCTCCGAGAAGGTAGTTCAGACCTCAGGACGTGTGTGCCATGGAATTGCCGTTTCACAATTGCAGCGTGAAACGCCTCACAAGTTTTCATGAGGCACAACGACTTGGGGGCAATCATTGAACGATGATTTTCTGTGACAGTTCTGGATTTTGCTGTCCTTTTTGTAGCCTTTGCAATGGACAGATGGCACTGAGTATACAGGTGGTCGTTGTGGATCCCCCTCGACAAGGTTTGAAAGAGGAGGCACTCTTCTACCATTCAAGGGGATCGGGATCATCGATGCTTGAAACCGCAACCAATTAGATATCGAATCCAATTGATCAAAGATTAAGAGTTATCAAGCGGCATGATGGCATGACCACTGAGTATGACAGGTATGAATCAATCTAGAACCCTTTTGAGTGGTTGATGATGTTGACTGAGGACTTGTCAACTGAAGTGAAATGTGGTGGAACGAATAAGATGGTCACATGGGCGTATTGATCGCCAGGCTCGGCGAGCACTGCTGACGTTGCGACCTCAACGGATGGTCTACGTCTCCTGCGACTGCGTCGGGATGCGCGGCCTTCGACAAAATCCACAGAACTGGCGATGTTTGGATTGTGATGTTTCGGTGATCATGTGATATTATATTCCAATACAATCACTGCAATACATTGCAATATACTGCATGCCTCTATGTCTCTTATCGACAGTGCCGTAGCAGGCGACCCAAGCGCGAGATCTCAAGGTGCGACCCACGCGACCCACGCAACCCATGACCCACGACTGCACCCTGCCGTCGCATCGCCGTCGCATGGCCAGGACTTTGTGGCGGAGGGCTACGTCGTGAAGCGCGCCACCTCCCCAGTGAAGGCTTCGTGAAGATGTACAAAATACTCACATTGAACATGATCTGACATCATTCAACATTATTCAACAGTGTTGTACATTTTAAGGTGTTTCTCAAGAAAACTAGACGACAGTGTGGCCCGAAAGAAAAGCAGGAGGGAGTAGATCAAAAGAGGATGAAAGAGAAGATATCAAGGTGAATAATGATGAATGAATATGAATGATGATGAGTGATGGTGAATGATGATGAATGAGGTTGTGGATGCGTAATGGTTAATTAATGAATGTGTGCTGAATGATTATGAAGCTATTATAGCGTATGTATATTTGTGTGTCCCAATGGCATCTATTCAGATGACTGCGATGACACATCGGATTTACACAGAAGCTTTTGCACAGAGAAGTCTTTGCGCATAGGAGCCTTTATAATCCTTTATACGCAGAAGATTTTGCACAGAGACATTTTTACACAGAGGAGCTTATACAAACAGAAGCTTTTACACTGAGAAGTCTTTACACGAGGACGAGGAGCTTTTAAACACAGTAGTCTTTACACAGAAAAGCTTTTACATGGAACGTGGTGGTCAAATGTCTGTGGTTTTTGTTTGCTTGCTTCAACAGAAACCAAAGGAAGCTTCATGGCGCGTAGCACAAGTTCCACTGAAAAGGCTGACAAAAGCAAACCGCTGCATCAGAGCTTCCGGCTGCTCGGCAAGCAACCAACGACCGACAAAAACGGCTGACAACGGTATGGTGCTGTTTCTCACGGTGTTGTATTGTGACATGGTTGTTAAGTGAACATGAATCATGGATGACACGAGGAATTTTCTGAGCATGAAAGTTCTGAGCACATGTTCCGGAGCGTTCTGAATCATAATTCTCATTTCACCCGCTTCTGCTGGTAACTTCTGGCTAAGATTTCTGATTGCTTGTGCGAGACCTGCTTCTGGCAGCGGAAAATTAGTTCTAAGTGTATTCTGGTATCCCCGGTGGACGCACCACCAAGCTTCCCCGGCGCATGTCTTAAAACACATTTGGATACACATCGAAGGGAGAGGACTGAAATGAGGTGAGATGACAGTTCATGGTTCGTGGTTCATGTTCCATTGTTCCGCATGCTGAGTTTTTGGCTAGGCCCAGTTGCCATACCAGAAAGAAGACAGATCAATACAAGTGTCCTTGTTAGTGCCAGACTTGCATTGACCCCTCGCACCCCTGTTCCCACGTAAATGTCATTGTTGTTGACCCTTTGTCGCAGGGTTTCCCACACACTAGGCAAGAACTGGATCATTGTAGTGACCCGTCGGGAACTGCATCCCATAACGTGCAATAAAGTTAGGGTAGGGGTCCCCGGCTTAGCCCCTTGCCATGTCGATCAGAAAATAACACTGCAGGTACGTTTTTACAGCAAGTTGGATGGGTCTTCGTTGGCCCATGCCATCCAAGTGCCCATAGGACCCCTGCAAGAGTAGAAGTTTTACATCTGTTCAGATGTTACACCACACACCCGGCCGAAGCCGGGTAAACCCTGAAAGGCAAGAGGAAGAAAAAAGCGGACACCAACGACGGGCCAATGGACAAAATAGCGCAGGGGGGGAAGGGAACAACGAACCTCAAGAACCAACCTACACGGAGAAACGGACCAAACCAGCACAGAGCACACACTTAAACCCCACGACACATTGCAGAGGGGCGCGGGGGGATAATTAGGGACCAAATTGGGAACTGGTTGATGAAGAAGAGTGAAACAACAAAAAAGTGAAATGGTATTCAGCTCAAACCTAAAGAGTCGTGCGCTACTCCCTCGAATGGACGGTAGTCGGTCACACCACATGGGCATTAAACGGCTGTTCAAGTTCAAATGAATTAGGTGCGCAAAATGTTTGGCCTCACCAGATACCAAAAAGACCATACCTGCAGGAAGAGAACATGCCTGTTGCCTTCAGTATCCCTGGTCATGTTGCAAAGCTTGAGCATCAGCGATAAAAGAAGGTTTCTGGTGGTTCGGAGCAACATCTCTTCAGCAGGAGTGAGGTTGCCCGAGGGTCACATAGACTAAAGGAGCAGCGGAACATTGCAAAAGGTGCAAAACCGAAAGGCCGACTGCGTCGCTTTACTTAGACGAATTACTAAATTAAAATGTGCAAATTCAGAAGTCAAATACTCAAATCGGTCCGCATTCACCTTAAGCAAGGTTCCCTCAAATGGGTCCATGGCACCATGTCGGAGCCACCATGGAAATCACATTAGACAAGAACTGGATCATTGTAGTGACCCGTCGGGAACTGAATCCCATAAGGTGCAATAAAATTAGGGTAGGGGTTCCCGGCTTAGCCCCTTGCCATGTCCATCAGAAAATAACACTGCAGGTACGTTTTCACAGCAACTTGGATGGGTCTTCGTTGGCCCATGCCATCCAAGTGCCCATAGGACCCCTGCAAGAGTAGAAGTTTTACATCTGTTCAGATGTTACACCCCACACACACACAGAAGCTTGTACACAGAGAAGTCTTTACACAGAGGAATTTACACAGAGACCCTTTTACATGAAGAGTGTTTACACACAGGAGCTTTTACACACAGACGCTGTTGCACAGAGAAGTCTTTACACGAAGGAGCTTTTACACACGCAGAAGCTTTACACAGAGGAGCTTTTACACACAGAAGCTTTTGCCCACAGAGAAGCTCTTACACACAGAAGCTTTTGCACAGAGAACTTTTGCACAGTGACCTCTTTACACAGAGGAAGTTTTTACACAGATAAGTCTGCACACACAGGAGCATTTACACAGGGAAGTCTTTGCACAGAGGGCCATTTACACACAGACGCGTTTACACACAAAAGCTTTTACACAGAGAAGTCTTTCAACAGGGGAGCTTTTACACACCAAAGTCTTTACACAGAGAACCCTCGCCACAGAATGTTGCAATATCCCAGTGTTGCCTCAGTTAGGAAGTTCGACCATCATTTCGTGCGAAAGGGTTGCAACTGAGCTTTCAAAATTGCAATGTCTTAGCAGTTTTTGACCTTCGGCCTTAATTTGCGCCGTCGCCCACAAGCTACACACGATCTCCGCAGAGGGTGCAATCCCCATTCCGACACTTTGGAACTTGCATTTCACCTCACGTTGCGCGTCCGACACGCACAAGATTTCCACAGAGGGTCACCTTTCGCAAACAGGTTGTTCACTGCCCCTGCCGCCTTAAGAAAGAATTTAGAAGAACTTGAGAAGTAGCAGTTTCTAGGCATTTTCGGATACAACTAGATCGCCTAGAAGTTAATTCCTGTGTGATCACTCCTGTAAAACAAGTCCTGTGCAACAACTCCTGTGCAACAACTAACTCCTTTGTAACAACTCCTCTGTCAGAACTCCTGTGTGATAACTCCTGTGCAAATGACAATGTAGGAGTGTTGTAGTAGAAGTGTTGTAGGAGACATGTCATGTAGATGAAGTTCAGGTATGTATGTGATTCAGATGACGTTGATTGAAGTTGATGTAGATGATGTAAATGATGGTTGTGATGTACATGAAGTTGATGTAGATGATGTAGATGATGAAAATGATGAATGTGATGTACATGAAGTTGATGCGGGTGATATTGGGGATGTAAAGGATGTAGAAGATGTTGTGTGGATAAAGTGAAAAGTTGACTTTGGCAGTAGTTCTTTGGGAAAAACCCTTTGCAGGAGCTTCCCTTGTCCGTTGCCTCAAGAGGCAGCTTCTTGCAGGGTTCGCATATTCAGATTGTCTGTATCTCCATGCCTCGTTCCATGGCCAAGGCGACACCCTTCGACCTCTTTCCACAGACCAGACATTTGGAGGTGCAAAGAGATGACATTGGAACAATCATCAGCAGACAATGGAATGACTGATTGCAGCGACGGTTTGTACATGTGTGTTGTTTTGCATCGGCATGCCAAGCCAAGCTGGAGTATACAGGTGTCGTTTTTGCAGTTCATACTATGCTTGTTGCACGGCCAACTTCACACAGCAGCACACCCAAGATCAAATTTTCCCTACAATGCGCGCATGTATCTGCAAGGTACAAGGGCGGGCATATAGGTAAATAGACAAAGTCTAGGCAGATAGAGAGCAGGCCAGAGGAATGGACAGAGCGACAAGCATGTGAATCAATATTCGCCCTAGAGGCAAAACATACCCTGCATGCCCTGCAGACCGGATTCCACATAGCCACATCATGCTACATCTGTGCATGTGTCTACACGCAATGCTTACGAAAACCATGTGGGCTTCCATGCTCCACGCCTGCCCTACAGCAATCTATACTTGATACAATACGATATGTATACCGCATATATATATATATACACAATATATGATATAGTATATATATACATATTATATACGATATATGATATAATATATATATACACACCACATATACATGAAATGAAGATGGGAAGCCTGCTAAGCAGCAAAGCAGCACATGCAAAATTCCGTTAAGAGCGCAGGTGGTTGTGGAACTGGAGCTGCTGGAGCATCGACAAAAAGTATGCCTTTGGAATCTGCTTTTGTGTCATTTGATGCGCTCACAGTGAAAACATATGATTGATGTCGTCAAAGGAAATTTGGAAGTCAAACTTCCGACTTATGGGCAGATGTACCAACAGTGGTGAGAAGAGTCAGAGGCGAGAAAGAATGAGAAGAGAAAGAGTCAGAGAACAGAGTGAGTAGAAAGAAGATCAAAGTGCGCGAAAAGGTAGAAAAGTCGAGAAACAGTGTGTGTTTTCCGATGTTTTGTGGCCCCCAAGGGTTGAAAAGCAGCCTCGCTAAAGCAGCGGGTGCGCAGCCATCTGGCGGGATGAGAGATCAAGAACTGCACGCCGCTAAAACGCAAAGCAAGTTGGAAGTCAAAAAGCTAAAAGCATCTCACGCCTGGGTTATTTTTTCTGGCCACTGAGATGTCGAAAAAGTGCACGTGACCGCGGCGCGAAGCAAATTTCGAACTCAAAATGGTACTAGACGACGGATGGCCCGAGAGCGTAGAGGAGCGTAGAGGAGCATAGCGAAGATCATATAGCATGAAACATCAATATAGAAATATGCGATGATGCCTAAAATGAAGAGACATGGCGCAGACATGTTGTGATAAGTAGGTACATATGAAGAAATTGAAGGAGAAAAAGTAGGTACATGTGAAGAACTTGAAGGAGAAATAAAAGAAAGATGAAACGAAGGAGACACAGAAAGAAGAATTGAGACGGACATTTTGCATAAGCATGCTCATACATACAAACATGCCTTACACACGCAGATGTTCTCTTACACAAAGACTGTATGACACACACAAGCTTTTACATACAGACGTTTTACCCACAAACACTTTTACACACAAAGACGCTTTTACACACTGACGCTTTTGCACACAGACGCTTCTACACACACATGCCTTTACACACAGGCCCCTTTACACAGACGCTTTTACACACAGACGCTTTTACACACGGATGGTTTTTGCACACAGACGCTTTTACACAGAGACCCTTGTACACACAGACCCTTTTGCACAGAAACCCTCAGTTTTTAATACTCGAACTTCATTTCGTGCGAAAAGGTTGCCGCTAAGAATGAAATCCAAAAAACATCAGTGTTTGACACCCAAACATAATTTCGTGTGAAAGGGTTGCCACCGGGCCAACCAAATTCGCAAAAAAAATCGGGTTTTGACACTGGAACCTCATTTCGTGCGAAAGGGTTGCCGCCGAGGATGTCAAATCGCAAAAAAAAACAGCAGTTTTTGAAACTCGAACCTTATTTCATGCGAAAGGGTTGCCGCGGAGGATGTTAAATCGCACAAGATCATCAGCTCTTGACACCCAAACCTCACTTCGTGCAAAAGGGTGGCCATACAGTGACGCCTCGTCGGCGCTGCCTGCGGCCTCAAGAAAGAAAAGAAAAAAGAAGGAGACACGAGAGAGAGAGAGAGAGAAGAAGATATGAGATGTGAAGATGAGCAGATGTGAAGATGTGAGTATGTGAAGGTGAGAAGATGTGAGCATGTGAAGATGTGAACATGTGAAGATGTATAGCAGACCTCCACTTTTAGACGAACCCTTCGCTCACACGCTCTCGGGAAAAAACACTACATGTGCACGCGACTGCGGCACGAAGCAAATGTCGAATTCAAAATGGTAAAAACTCTACATGTTCGCACCATTCTTGGAAGTTCAGATGTCGAAAAGTGCACACCGTTGCGGCGCGAAGCACATGTCGGAGTCAAAAGTGTTAAAAAACTGACGGTCTCGGACCACTTGAAGTTATTGTGCGTGGCAGGCACAATGGGTTCTCTACCTCGCCAAAAGTGAGCAAAACGTGAGGGCTTTGCGGGAGTTGCAAAAAGGATGGCAAGCGTGAGAATGCGTGAGACGTTTGAAGTGGGTCTGCAAAGATGCATGTCGTGTGGCAGGCGCAGTACAAGAAACATATTTCATCAGCATTTTGGATCATCGGACTGGCAGGTTCACTAAGATGATTTTGCATGACAGGTGCAGCACTTCGTATGACTTAGCGTCACTTTTTCGTGGCAGGCGCCGTGCTTTAGACAGATGGGCCAGAAGAATAACAATACGCATTGGCACTACCCCGTCAGCTCTGCACAGCCTCCCAGAATTGCTTCGCTTTTGACGTTGTCAATGCCAAAAATTGTCTCGCAGAAGTTCTTCGTTTTGGAGCTGTCAACTTCAGTTTTGTCAGGAAGTCTTGCAGGATTGCTTCGTTTTAGACGTGCCAAATTCCACTTGCAAAGAAGTCTCCCATAATTGCCTCCTATCAGATAAAGATTGGTAGGTGGATCAATAGATAGATAGATTCATAATTAGACAGCGAGAGACAGAGACAGAGACAGAGACAGAGAGACAGATAGATAGGTAGATAGCCAGATAGAGAGACAGACAAACAGATAGACAGATAGATAATAGATAGATACATAGCCAGTTAGATAGAAAGAAAGATTATCAGATTAACAGATAGACAGATAGATAGGTAAATAGAAAGATAGCTCAATAGATAGGAAGATCAACATACAGACAGGCAGACAGACCGACAGACAGATAGATAAATACATAGATAGATAGATTAGATAGATAGATTAGAAAGAAAGAAAGATAGATAGATAAGATTAGATTGGATTAGATTAGATAAGCTTAGATTAGATAGATAGATGGATAGATAGATTAGAAAGATTAGAAAGATTAGATAGGTTAGATAGCTAGATTAGATAGAATAGCTAGAATAGCTAGAATAGCTAGAATAGCTAGATATATAGATAGATACGTAGATACGCAGATAGACAGAAAGATAGATAGTCAGATAGATAGGTAGATAGATAGATAGATAGACAGCTAGATAGATAGACAGACAGTTTCATAGGTAGGTAGCTACACAGACAGATAAATGAATAGATGATCAAAGGAAGTTTAGGGGGAGAAACTTCCGTGTTACGGACTTTTAGAATGTCAGGGAAAGAGTTAGTCAAAGAAAGAGTTAGTGAGGGAAAGAGTTAGTCCAAGAAAGAGTTAGTCAAAGAAAGAGGTAGCAAAGAAACAGTTAGTCAGGGAAAGAGTTAGTCAAAGAAAGAGTTAGTGAGGGAAAGAGTTAGTCAAAGAAAGAGTTAGTGAGGGAAAGAGTTAGTCAAAGAAAGAGTTAGCAAAGAAACAGTTAGTCAAAGAAAGAGTTAGTGAGGGAAAGAGTTAGTCAAAGAAAGAGTTAATCAAAGAAAGAGTTAGTGAGGGAAAGAGTTAGTCACAGAAAGAGTTAGCAAAGAAAGAGTTCGTCAGGGAAAGAGTTAGTCAAAGAAAGAGTTAGTGAGGGAAAGAGTTAGTCAAAGAAAGAGTTAGTGAGGGAAAGAGTTAGCAAAGAAACAGTTAGTCAAAGAAAGAGTTATCAAAGAAACAGTTAGTCAGGGAAAGAGTTAGTCAAAGAAAGAGTTAGTCAAAGAAAGAGTTAGTGAGGGAAAGAGTTAGTCAAAGAAAGAGTTAGTCAAAGAAACAGTTAGTCAGGGAAAGAGTTAGTCAAAGAAAGAGTTAGTCAGGGAAAGAGTTAGTCAAAGAAAGAGTTAGTGAGGGAAAGAGTTAGTGAGGGAAAGAGTTAGCAAAGAAACAGTTAGTCAAAGAAAGAGTTCGTCAGGGAAAGAGTTAGTCAAAGAAAGAGTTAGTCAGGATATATGAGGTAGTCAAAGAAAGAGTTAGCAAAGAAACAAGTTAGTCAAAGAAAGAGTTAGTGCTGGTGGATGAGTTGCCGAAAGAAAAAGTGATTTGCAAAGGATTTTTCCCTCACTGTAAATGGGATTGCAAGTGGTGCTGGTGGAGGAGTTGCCGATGGAGTTTTGGAGGAAGTCTCGCACGAAATGCGTTTTTGAGAGATAGCAGATGCACGAAAGCCTATGTTTTTCCATACAAAGTGCGTCCCCGAACGTCGATGATCTACCTCTGCGGTGCGACGGTTGCGAGACGGTCTCGTGTGTGGTCGGATCATGGGCGGATTGGTCTCGGATCGGTTCCGCATTGTAAATGGGGTTTCAACTGTTTTTCGTGCATGTGTGGTCGACAGAATTCCATTGTGATTTGCAACTGTAGGATCGTTCCCGCAATGTAAATGGGATTGCAAGTGGTGCTGGTGGATGAGTTGCCGATGGAATTCCATTGTGATTTGCAACTCTAGGATCGTTCCCTCACTGTAAATGGGATTGCAAGTGGTGCTAGTGGAGGAGTTGCCGATGGAGTTTTGGAGGAAGTCTCGCACGAAATGCGTTTTTGAGAGATAGCAGATGCACGAAAGCCTATGTTTTTCTATACAAAGTCCGTCCCCGAACCTCGATGATGTACCTCTGCTTTGCGACGGTTGCGAGACGGTCTCGTGTGTGGTCGGATCGGTCTCGGATCATGGTCGGATCATTCTCGGATCGGTTCCGCATTGTAAATGGGGTGTCACCTGTGTTTCGCGCATTTGTGGTCGACAGAATTCCATTGTGATTTGCAACTGTAGGATCGTTCCCGCAATGTAAATGGGATTGCAAGTGGTGCTGGTGGATGAGTTGCCGATGGAATTCCATTGTGCTTTGCAACTGTAGGATCGTTCCCGCAGTGTAAATGGTTGCGTCAAGGTTGCTTCGTGCCGTGGCTGCATTGGTAATACTATTGTCTTTTGCAGCTGGACTTCGTAAATCGTATTGGAGTGGCTGCATGAAGGCTGCCACAGTGATTTGTTTGCCGCAGAGGGATCAACTCTCGTTTGACTGCCGAGGGCTGGGTGTGCGTTGTTGTGAACCGCATCCGAGTCTGAATTGCTGTGCTTCAGTAGCGTCGCCTTTCATTTCGAGTTGCAGACGGCAGAATGCCTGTGTCACTTAATTTTCGTTTCTGTCTGCGTTGTTACGAACCGCACAAGAAACCATGATCGTATTGCATACATGTGACAAAAAAAGGATCTTTCAGATTTTGGCTGCTTTCATTTTCTATTTCAAATCAACTTTTTCTGCTCTGGCGTTGGAGTGCGAAGGAAGCAGTGGGAAGTGTGAAGTGTGAAGTGTGAAGTGTGAAGGAAGCAGTGGGAAGTGAGAAGTGTGAAGTGTGGAGTGTGAAGTTTAAGTTTGGAGTGCGAAGCGCGCAGTGTGAAGTGTGAAGTGTGAGGTTTGGAGTGTGAAGGAAGCAGTGAGAAGTGAGAAGTGTGAAGTGAGAAGTGTGAAGTGTGGACTGTGAAGTGTGGAGTGTGAAGTGTGAAGTGTGACTGCGAAGTGTGAAGTGTGAAGTGTGGACTGTGAAGTGTGAAGTGTGCAGTGTGAAGTGTGAAGTGTGAGGTTTGGAGTGTGAAGGACGCAGTGACGCAGTGAGAAGTGAGAAGTGTGGAGTGTGAAGTGTGGAGTGTGAAGTTTGAAGTTTGGAGTGCGAAGAGTGCAGTGTGCAGTGTGAGGTGTGGAGTGTCGAGGGAAGGACACGGTCGGGACAGGGTGTCGTTGAACTATAGGTCATTTATGTTTGGGAAACTTCCGCCGCCGGCTTGCCCGGGTCTATGTTAGATAGGCTTCAGATAGATAGATGGATTGGTGGATAAACAGACAGACAGACAGACAGACCGACAGGCAGACAGACAGACAGGCAGACAGGCAGACAGACAGACAGATAGATCGATAGATGGTTAGATAGTTGGATGGAAAGATACATAGATAGATAGCTAGCTAGCTAGGTAGGTAGGTAGGTAGGTAGGCTCGCTCTGCCATCCATGCATCACAACGTTTCACCTCTCTTACAGGTTTCCTATCCTTGAAACTTCCGCCACCGCCCCGTGCGGTACTACTGGTATAGTTTCTAAAGATGAAGATATGCCTAGCACTTGCAAAGACCAAAGTGATGTTGCATTGAACTCTGACAAGTGGGTGTTCGAAGTCCTTGGGGCATGTCCTTGAACCGAAGTGCCGCAATCTACGCCGATCCTTGCACAAATTTGATGAATTCTCACTGGCTCAAGGGCAAATGTTAAGGCACCGGTCGTTGTTTTGGGTCCTTGGAGGCATGGCACTGAACGTTGCCCTCCGCCCATCCCCACCGGGCTACGCCGGATATGCTCGTGCCCGGCCGGCTGTCACTACCCCTGCGGCTCCTTACAAGGTGACGCCGGCAGCCAAGCCCCAGCCCAAAACACCAATGCCAGTCTTTGTTGGTTCTCTGGAAGATTGGCTTAGACCCGAAGCGAAGTCATATCAAGCCCTTCATTTTCCGAGAAGTCCTTCATGGCCAAACTACCAAATGGAGATTGACCGATCACTTGCAGACTTTGGCCCTGAAAGTCAGCTGGAGACAAAGATCGAAAGGGAACCTGGAAAGGAATTGGGATTTAAGCAACTCTGCTCACATGGTTTTTGCTGGGATTTTGTCGGTGCTGATGTAGTTGCAATGTTGTTGGTATAGATTCGTAGATGGCATTTTGACCTGAAACTAAAGCCTGATGCATGCAATCATCAATGCATCCAATAGCGTGTGATGCAGCAGACAAGATGTAGCTTGTGTTTTTTCAGGCCAGGAACGCGTTATTTCCAAACTCAAGCAAAAGGGCGTGTTCCAAAGTTGAGACTAACTTTTGCATTCCTTGAAGGTCATAGTCACAGATGTTTTGCAGTAATTCGAGGTTCTCATTCTGAGGCATGTGCTGAAGGTAAAATGACTGAGATGACCTAGATGACGGTTTCACGACGATTCCCCACAGTTTGTGTTGTTGCAGCAAAGACACCCCCAAAGGCAAGCTGCAGAAGAGCTTCTTCACAGTGTCCGATTGCCAAAGGACAGCTGGATAGATGGGTCATGGGATCCTGGCTTCTAAGGGCTTCTAAGGGTTTCTAAGGGCTTCTAAGAAGGTCACAGGATGTAACCTTTTGATTTACGGTTTGTATGACTGTGTTTACGGAGAATACCAGCTAGTGCCTGGCTGCGCCGGGGTGGAAGTCTTGCAAAAGTGTAATGGGCAGGAAGGATGGCCTACAGAAATTGTCAAGAGGCTGCAGAAGCTTTGAATGAATGCGCAAATGAATGAAAGGTCAAGGGATGAAGGAAGGGGGAAGAAGGAATGAATGAAAGAATGAATCAATGAAAGAAAGAATCAATGAAGAACGACAGGAATCAATGAAAGAATAAGACGATGAAATGCTGCAACGGAATGGCATGGAATGAAATGAAATGAAATGAAGGAAAACAATGAAAAAACGAAATGAATGAAACGAACGAAATGAATGGAATGAATGAGATTGATTAAATGAATGAAAGAAAGTACATGAATGAAATGAATGACATGACTGACATGAATGTTATGACTGAAATTAATAAGATGAACGAAATGACGTGAAGTGAAATGAAATGGAATGAACGAACGAAATGAAAGGAAAGGAAACGAAACAAAATGAAATGAAATGAAATGGAACGAAGTGAAATGAAAGAAAGAAAGTAAGTAAGTAAGTAAGTAAGTAAAAACATATCCTTTTGACCTTGATTCAGAAGTCTTGTGGCTGTATTTTACCACAATACACTGGAAAACCAGCATAAAGAAACAATGAATGCATTCAAAATTGATCGTGGTCAGCAGAAAACAACCACCCATACACACAATCTTTCGAACTATATCTATCTGTCTATCTATCTATCGATCTATCTTTCTTTCTCTTTCTTGCTTGCTTGCTTTATTTCTTTCTTGTTTTCTTTCTTGCTTTCTGTCTTTCTTTCAACTAATCTATCTATCTATCTATCTATCTATCTATCCATCCATCCATCCATCCATCTATCTATCTATCTATCTAGCTGTTTGTCTATCTATCTATCTATCTATCTATCTGTTTGTCTATCTATCTATCTATCTAGCTATCTGTCTATCCATCTATCTACCTTTCTTTCTATCTATCTGTCTGTCTATCTATCTATCTATCTATCTATCCGTCCATCTGTCGTCCTATTTCAACCTATCTATTTGTCTATGTTTCTTCCTTTCCGTCTTTCCTTTTTCTTGGATCCATCCATCCATCAGAAATGTCCTTATTGCACACACGGTTGACCCTCGGGACATAAAAACCATGGTGGTCACCTGGCGGTCAGGAGACACCCCCCAGTTCAAGACGAGCCTCCAACAAAATCAACTTCAAACCCCTCCTTGAATACTTCAATGCCCGATCTCTCGCATGCTCTTCGGCCATGTATTGCGCGTGCACCATCTATCATTCTAAAATTTCTTCTCAGACTCAGCGCTACGTCTTCGCTCCGCCACTCCACTTCTGGTCTCAACCATTTCCCTTTCTGAAGTACTTCTTTTAAGCTGGCTTGATTATCTGCAACTCACATTTAGTTTCGACGCGTCATTTCAATGCATATATGCAATTCCTGCCGCGCTTCCCCATAGTACAAGAGTGACACGATGCTCCAAGACTACGTTAGCCCCAGTTTTTACAGTTCGTTTACCAACTTCCAGCTACAGTCCTCCATAGCACGAATGTTATAGCAACATCACTACTACTTTCCAGCGTGCAGCCATGCCAAGTCGTTTCGTCACCAACACTTGCAATCCCACATATCAGCAGCGGATCATTGACTTGACACCATTTCGAACCTGAAATCGGTCACGCATAATTCCGGGGCGAGTCTGGTTATCTCAATTCTTCAACATTGTTTGGTGAAACCAAGCTCTCGTTGTAGTCTGCGCGCTTTTTTGCGATAGCTCTTCCAGATCGACGCCCGAAACCGCGGAAACGCACACCCCTTAGCAACCCCGCAAGCCACCAAACCAGGGATTCGCGCGGTTCCATGGACCGACGTGCTCGACTGCTAATGAGTTTAAGACTGACCATGGACATTCATCTGCAATTTGGAAGTTTGTGAACTAAATGTGTTTTGATTTTAAAACCAGGCAAAGTTATGTTCATATTTGATCATTAAATCGAGAGTTTTGATGTTCGATCGGTCAGATCCATCACGAGAGCTTGGAGGATCTGATTGCCACCGTGAAAACTGATGCTGATTTGCTTGGAAAGACCGTGGCAGCAGTGTGCTCTTGGAGCAAGACGTTTCTTCTGAAGCTTGGAAAGACGGCATGTCAAGGGCCTGACATGGGCCCATGTGCAACAGTTGGGCCAAGGGAAAGCCAAGGGAAAACCAAGTTTAAGCGGGAATCAACGAATCGAATCCAATTGTCACAGCACTATTTCGAGATGATGTTTGCATCAGTTTGGCATCGTTTTTTTTTTGCCTGGTTGCATGTGGAATTCAAAAATTCCGTTGATGCAGCAAACCCACAGACGTTACCGGTCTGATCGGGTCTGGGACTAGACTCGTATAATACAGAACAAGGCGAAGATGTCGCCTGTCCAGATCTCCAAGCCCCTCATGAGTGTGGAGAGTGCTGAAGTTGAGGCACAGATGTAAAAGATGTGGGCAGGATGCTAGAGCACCTGAGTGCAAAAATTATCCAAGATAATTTATCCGATACTTGATGATACAGACCAACCTGGTTTCAGGTTTGCAATTGATCCACCCCTCAAGGAAACTGGAGCTGATGGGAGAGTATACCTGCCCTCGTTGGCATCGAGACAACTATTGCGGAAGAGGCATCATCACCTACAATTTGTCTGGTACCCAATACCTTCCCGAAGTTTCCTGGATCACAAGTCTGGATATGGCAAAGATGGGGTCGAACGAAGCTATCAATGACTGGCCATTCTCAGTAGCTATGATGTTTCAGTTTGACAACTGCAGTGATCATTTGGGACCGGACATGAATTTTGGAAACGAAGTACTTGATCGTGAAGACAGTTTTAAAATGTGAAACATGACACCGATGACACGTGCACGACATGGTTTCGCTTGTGCAAACCCGATTGTTATGTACCAAGGGCACATGTAGATTCACATGATTCATATGTGTGTATCTGTATCATATGTGGATATATTTGGTCAAGCTGAGGAGTATGTAGACGTCTGGGAGCTGGAGCATTGCGGTAACTTGGCCGAAGGAAAAGTTGGTCGGTCCACAGTGTGTGTGTGTGTGAAAACACACAGCAACCAAATAGCCAACTAGCCCATCTATATTGCCTTGCAGTATTGCAGATTGGCAAGATGGAGGTGCTGGTGTCAATCATGTCAATCATTTCTTCGTGAACGGATTGTTTGGGCTTCGGACTCAACTGACACAACCAGAACAAGTACGAAATGCAAAGAACTCTGCCAGATGTTCCCAACTGAGGTAACAATGATTGCATTGTCAAAGATCCGTCGAAAGTTTGTCAGATCAATGTGGGCGATATGTTTTTCATGAAGGGCATGGGATATCCCACTGGAGTGAAAGGATTGGTCCACAAGTCACCGCCCGTGCAATATCACCCGGATGGATTTGCGATGAACCGCTTAGTTCTGAAAGTGGATGTCCCCTTGCAATGAAACCCATGGGAGCCTGTGGTTCCTGAAAGAGGGCTGAATTCTTTCAATTTTTTAGGAAGCAGTTTGTATAGATGTGTACAGCCCACCTGTTTCCAAACTGTGTTAGTGGTTGGTACCTGCAACGCAGGCAGCTGCTATATGCTTTACCCTACAGCTGCAGCTACCAAGTTGCCATTGTTGCCAGGAGATTCATATCTGGAGCAGTTTTCGGGTTTATCAAGTTGGTTCGGTGTAGCTGAGGGTTCGACTAGGGGTGGTTTCTGCACAGATATTTGCATGCGTTGGTCATGCACTTGTGACCTGTTGAGAACATGTACAGGCCTGTACCTACGTTACAGAACCTTTGCTCGACCGAATTTGCCCTTTGCAAGATGGTCATGGAAGTGAAGCTGAGACCATGGCATGACGAAAATAAGTTGTCGTCCGTTTGGCCAGTTGCAATGGGATGGCTGTGACTGCAATAGTGACAATCCAAATATAGCAAAGTATCTTGGCTATGCCCACTTCAGGTGGACACGCCTTTTGAATCTGTTTCTGTTTCATTGGATGCGCTCACGGTGAAAACATATGATTGATGTCGTATAGATTGTAAAGACGAAGCTTTGGATTTGCTTAGCACCTGCAAAACCCATCCATGCATCACAACGTTTCACCTCTCTTACAGGTTTCCTATCCTTGAAACTTCCGCCACCGCCCCGTGCGGTACTACTGGTATAGTTTCTAAAGATGAAGATATGCCTAGCACTTGCAAAGACCAAAGTGATGTTGCATTGAACTCTGACAAGTGGGTGTTCGAAGTCCTTGGGGCATGTCCTTGAACCGGAGTGCCGCAATCTACGCCGATCCTTGCACAAATTTGATGAATTCTCACTGGCTCAAGGGCAAATGTTAAGGCACCGGTCGTTGTTTTGGGTCCTTGGAGGCATGGCACTGAACATTGCCCTCCGCCCATCCCCACCGGGCTACGCCGGATATGCTCGTGCCCGGCCGGCTGTCACTACCCCTGCGGCTCCTTACAAGGTGACGCCGGCAGCCAAGCCCCAGCCCAAAACACCAATGCCAGTCTTTGTTGGTTCTCTGGAAGATTGGCTTAGACCCGAAGCGAAGTCATATCAAGCCCTTCATTTTCCGAGAAGTCCTTCATGGCCAAACTACCAAATGGAGATTGACCGATCACTTGCAGACTTTGGCCCTGAAAGTCAGCTGGAGAGAAAGATCGAAAGGGAACCTGGAAAGGAATTGGGATTTAAGCAACTCTGCTCACATGGTTTTTGCTGGAAAATTCTGATGATGTGAGGGGATCGCAGTTTGATGCAGTTTGTACACGTTCTCTTGATGTGACGTGAATACTTGGTACATCTTGGTACAATTTTCCATAAGTGCAGCAACTTAGTGCATGAATTATCATACAAAAAAGATTCTTGGTGTGCTGGATGTTGGGCATTGGATGTTGCTCCGAGAGTAAATTAGGTCAAAGATATGCTGCAAGTATCATCAAGTACTCTACTTCACTACTTGCTTCCACACCCTCAGAAAGCAGTCGACAAATCTCAACTTCTCCACAGGCCTTCGGTCGAGACTATTGGAGACTGTCATAAGTCATAACCACAATACTTCGTAATACAACCCAATATCATATGATGTAAAATGTAGGAGGAAATATGTCGATATATGTCGTATTTTGCCAATTGCAGAATCCTTGCAGAATCCCCAGCCCTTGAGGCAAGCGGCTGAGGATCTTCTTCGTGGCATCCGATTGCCCGAGGCAGTACCGTGGAGGGCGGTGTCAGGATGCGAGTGGAACTCACATGGTCGGTCGCATGTTACAAATCTTCAGACGCTGTTTACAGCTTTTCAGCACTTTATAATCTTTATAGCATTGAAATATCGTATTTTATCGGGTCATCGGGTCCTGTGTCAGAGCTTTTATGGATTTTTATGGATTTCATATAAAAATTTCATGCAGAATTTCATCACCAGAATTCTGAAGGAGCTGCTTGACCTTCTGAGACACGATGCTGAGCAGCTGGGAAAAACCCTGGCCATGCTATGTCCTTGGAACAAACTCTTTCTGCTGAAGCTGGGAAGGAATGGCTGAAGGAATGGCTGAAGGAATGGCTGAAATGTTGCCAAAAAATGCCAAGACCTTGGAATGTTGTGTCAACTGTGTCAACAAGTGCCATTGAGCCCATTGAGCCCATTGAGCTGATGGCGAGTATCATACCATTTGAGGTGCAATGAAAGAGAAAGTGCGAATATTATTTAAATTGATTAAATAATATTAAATATGTATATACATATGTATATACGCATGTATTCATTTCCCGCAAGTTTGGAAGAACCGGAATATGTCTCACTGCAGATGCAAAGGTCTGAAACTTCCAGAGAATTCTTGTATACTGGGGATTGAAAGTGATAGAACAACCACGGTCAAAGTGTGAGCCAGCTCTTGAGCAGGAGCTTTCCATAGCAAGTTTGGCCACTTCTCATACACTTGCCAAGTGGATCTTGAAAGAGCAGCAGATTTAAGAGGTTGTGGCAGATTCCAACTCGTAGACCTTCAAAAACCCGCTCCAGTAAAAGAAACGGGAAGGTATCTTTGACTCAATGTTTGAAGACATACCGTAGACATGAATGAATTATATTGGAATATCATATGAATATCATATGAATATCATATGAATATCATTTCTCAGTGGAGGATTCACATGAATCGATGTGTACCGTCCAAACCCAGGAAGCTGGAGCTCATGGGAGAGCATAATTGCCCTCGGTGGCATCGAGATAGCTACATCGGAAGAGGTATCATCTCCTACAACCTCTCTGGTACCCAATACATTGCAGAGGTATCTGTTCAAAAACAGCATGCATCGTCAGAGTACACATACAAATGCAAACATGCTTAGCATTAAGTCATTGCAGTTTTGTCATGTTTTGTCCTAAATAATTTCGAGCCATCATTGCCATCATTTGAAAAGCTGGTGCAGGTTGAGACATGTCAACGAATCTGGAAATGATGACCCCTCGTTGGGTTTTCCCTAGTTTAGATGACGCCAGGAGGGAACATCCACCAAGTGCTTCTTAAACTTCTTAAATCCAACGCTGGATAGATGAAAATTGAAAAGATGATACCCTGACCTTCGGAAAATGCTGGTTCTATGGTACAGCTTGCTCATTGATCAAGTGCTGAGGAACATGTGAACATTTGGGAGCTTGAGAATTGCGGTCACTTGTCTGAAGACAATATTGGCTGGTGTATGATATGTATGTGGGAGCGCACAGGAATTCGAATGGGTAGAATGGGCAGAATGGCCCAGAATGGCAACGCCGAAGGCTGTTCAGAATGGTGAAGGGAAGGGCTCGAAGGGCTCCACCTGCAACTGAGGCAACAACGATCACATTTTGAGAGATGCCTCGAAAGTCCGTGAGATCAATGTGGGCGATCTTTTTTTCATCAAGGGCAACGGATTTCCCACTGGAGAGAAAGGATTGGTCCACAAGTCACCGCCGGTGCAATATCACCCGGATGGATTTGTGAAGAACCGCTTGGTTCTGAAAGTGGATGTCCCATTGCAATGAAACCAATGGGAACCTGTGGCTCTGAAAGAGGATAAAGAGGGTTGAATTCTTTCAAGTTTTTCGGCTGCAGTTTGTGTAGATGTGTACAGCCAAGCTGTGTCCAAATTGTTTTAGTGATCACTACCTGCAATGCAGGCGATCGCCAGAAGATGCTTTACCCTGTAGCTGCAGCTACTAACGTGCCATCATTGTCAGTAAATTCCTATGCGCCACATTGTCTTTCATTATATAATCATAGATTTTTGTGAGCTGACATGTTGGTTGGCTGTAGCTGAGGGTTGGATTAGGGGTGGTTTCCAAAATAACATAATTGCATAAAATATTGCATATTGTGTCATAATTGCATATACTTGTTTCACCAAAGGCAAAAGGCTAGGGTGGAAAACAAGCAGAGATGTGCCAACCTCCGTTTCCAGCACTAGAGAGGTCCGGTAGCACCATTCCCTTTGTGCATTTTTTTGCGTGTGGATTAACTCTGCGAATCAGAAATCAGAAATCTACTTGTCACAAACATCTGCCATTTGTTCAGCTGGCATCTCCGAAAATTTGGTTCAAGCGCACCCTGCTAACAACTTTGCTCTGCCTGATCACTGCCATCACGTGAGGCTACCTGAAACACTCGCACACGATGTTGTTTGCGCTAGTGTAATTGTCATAACAGCTTTCGGGCTGACGATCCGAAGATGGTTCTAGTTTGGTGAAGCTCCAACAAGCATTTTTGCTGCTAGTCGAGGTAAATTCTGCAAGGACTGATATGTACAAGCATTTCGACACTCAGCTTTTTCCATGACTAACTATTGATCAAGTACGGTGAAAAAACGATGTTTAGCTTAAAGCGGTTAAAGTCTATCGCGATGAATTTCGAGTTTGTGTTGTCAGGACCTATAAAAAATTCAATGTGACAACAGAAGTTATATGCAACTTGTCAGGAAGATGTCTTCCGTCATCACCTTAATGCGGTTCTGCCCGGTTCAGATTTCGACACAGACGGGATCACCTCCACACTGCCATGTCAATGTGTCATACTGTCATACTTGGATGATCTTGGATGTAATTTGGATGTAATTTGAAGATTTTGTTGCAAGTGATGCATCATTTGTCACAGATTCTCAAGGACCAACAGTCAGATCTATTCAGCCGTAAAATCCATAGGTTGATCCGATTTAAGGCACCAAGTGATGCTGACCTGCAAGCCAAGCTGAAGGACATGAAGAAGGTTCCGGTTCTTCACCTTCGAACGAACATGTTGACCCTGACGGATGCTTTGATGATACCTGTTGCTGTTTTCATTTTCTTTTGATCAACTCTTTAAATCATACCCATGTCTCAGTGTGTCTCGGTTCCTTTTCAGATCGTGGACCCTAAGATCCCTTCCCCTAAGATACAGCCCATACCGCCGCCTGTACCCTCTGCCATGACAGGTTGAGACCAAGGAGGCTGCTGGCTTGGACTCAAAGATGTTGGAGGCAGCCGCGACCGCCGTTTTTTTTGTGTCACTCTGACATCAAGAAACATCAAAAAACATCAAAAAACATCAAAGAATAAAGACGTTTGTTGGATCATCAAGTGCTGATTATGAGGATTGTAAAGTATGTCAGCTATGATCAAGCTATGATCAAGCTATGCAACTCTACATCATTTTTATATCATTTTGGAGCGTTTCATGATTGTCTAGAGGAGATTACGTAAAACTTCCACGTCATCGTCACCCCTTGGGCTCCTGGGCTCCTGGGCTGGGCTCCTGGGCCACCTGGTTGCCCTACGGCAGGCTCTGGAGAAGATGTGGGCTGACTGCGGAGGCTGAAGAATTTCATTACACGACGTCGCTAGATTCCGCTAGATCGTTAAAATATGTTAAAATATGTTATACGTTACAATCAGTCTGTAACGATTCAATCAATTAACCAGTCTATTACTTTATCAGTTTTTTTACATCAGTCGGTTACATCGAGGGTTACACAAATCTTGCGCTTTTGTGCACTCAGACTTTGGAGAGTTGCAAGGTTTGTCACCACACGAACACACGATTCTGTTTGGCAAGGGTTGTTTTGTTCACTTTGGCGCAACATGTTGGTTTTTCAGCCTCTTTGCTTCATGCGTGGCGCAGCTTTTTGGATACTTTTGAACGGGCTTTTGAAGTCCGTACTGCACTGAGCACGGGCCTGCGTAGCTCTCAGGGACTCCCTGAAGGGTGCTCGCTCTCAGTGGTGGGCATGATCTTGGTGGATTGGGCATATCATGTGTACATGAAGCTGTTGACTCCTTCGGTTCATGTTTTTAGCTATGTGGACAATTTGACCGCAGCTGGTTTTAGACCTCTACAAGTAGTTTCGGCATTTTTCTCCACGATGGGCTTTTTCAAACTGTGGGGGCTTTCCCTGGACCTGGACAAGAGCTATGTTTGGGGACTCACACCGCAATGTCGCCAGATCATGGCCTACTTGGGCCTTTCACTGAAACAAGATGTCCTGGAATTGGGTGGCAACATGTGTTTTGGCAGACCTCGCCGGAATCGGCTACTGAAAGCCCGGGCCCTCCTTTTGACGGGCAAATGGGCCAAATTGCGCCGCAGTCGCGCCCCAGCGGCACAGAAGGTTGCGATTTTGCCGGCCTCCTTCTGGGCGGTGGCCCTGCATGGGGTAGCCATCTGTCCAGTCCCTGACGGGCATCTTCATGACCTTCGCCAGTCAGCCAACAAGGCCTTGAGATGGAACCAAGCAGGCAGTAATGCTATGCTACGGTTTGCCCTACAGCCCAACATGATGGCTGATCCGGGCTTCTACCATGTGATGCTGGTTTTGACTACTTTTCAACGCATTTGTAGAGGTTCACATACGTTACTGGCATGTTGGCGATGGTGGTTTCAATCGTTTCAGGGAGATTTGCAACAAGGCCCTTTCAGTGTCTTGTTGACGACGCTGACCAGCGTTGGATGGGAACTGGTTGATCCTCCTTGGATACGGGACCATCTTGGTGGCGATCATGATTTTTTGCTTATGTCAGGGCCTCTCATGAAGCAATTGATCCAAGATGCATGGCTTTTGAAGGTGGCTCAAAATGTCCATCACCGGCCAACTATGGCGGGACTGACCGGCATTGACCGCCATGTTACGGTGGAGACCAACACCACTTTGACTGCGCACCAGCTTTCACTGCAGATGGCGTTGCAAAGTGGGACGTTCATAGACACTTGGAGCCATAGTAAGTATGACAAGTCCAAACAGGGATACTGTCAAGTTTGTGATTGCCCCAATACCCACCAACACCTTTTGGTTTGTAGCAAATACCAACATTTACGGGAAAAGTTTTCTTTGACCAGCGCTGAACTGACCTCCTGGCCACCATGCTTTGCTCATCATTTGCTGTGCCCGCGCTCTCCTTTTGTGGATGCACTACGGGCCTACTTCTTGAACGTGCCAGACAAGTCGAACATCTTCGACAGTGGTCCGGAAGCTGACGAAGTCAACCACCTTTTCACAGATGGTTCCTGCTTTGCTCATGGGCGGAGAGAAACACATTTGGCAGCCTGGGCCGTCTACAATGCCACCACGCAACGGCCATTGGGGACCGGCCCGGTGCCAGGCCTCGAACAAACCATTGGCCGCGGCGAATTGAGCGCTTTGGTCTTTGCACTTCGCTGGGCTCTTCATTTTCAGGTGAAGACACACCTGTGGATAGACGCCAAATGGGTTCATGATGGTTTCCAACAACGGAAACGACATACTCCCAACGGCGATCTTTGGTTAGAGGTGGACAACCTTTTGGCCAACGGCGCGGCGCACTTGGTCGATTCTTCCTGGATCCCGTCTCATTTGGATCTAGCCCGCTGTGAGAGCCCTTTTGAAGAATGGATCGCGCGCAACAATGCGGCGGTGGATGTCATGGCGGTGCGCTGCAACCATGAAAGACCTCAATCCTTGTGGACGTTGGTGAACCAACAGCGAGACTGGGATCAATGTTGGCGAGATCGCTTGCAAAAGCTACGCCACTACTACTTTCACATCTATGAGATTACCCACCAGCCTCCCTCAGCGAGTGAAGTGATCCCTGTGGTCTCCAGTGACGAGGAAGAGAATGAAGGATCATTGTACAGTTTTGCTGATGTGCTGTCAGGGGCTTCAGACTTTTGTACATTCCAAGCCACGACAGGTTTTCCTTTTTCATTTTTGCAGAACCTGATGTCATGGATTCACGATCATGATGATTGCGAGGAGGTTCCTAGGCCTGTTAGTTTGTTGGAGGTTACGGTTGGTTTGTTGCACTTTGACCCGATTCATTTCCCTCATCGAAATCCCACGACAGGGGAATGGACCGATCAGGACAGGCTTCTGCTTTTTGAGCGGCCCACGCTGGCATATTATTTGGGTATTGTACAGAAAACATTCCAGTATTTGGCCACTCAATTTAGGTCTTTGGACCCCATTTTACGATCAATTAATTGTCTCAACCTAGGGGTGCATATTCCGCAGAAGGGCATTTTTCTCCGCCTCCCCAGGGCTCTGAGATCAGACATCAATATGATGTTGGGAGGTTTCACAAGGACGCGGCCCGTCCGCAGAAGTGCCGATTTGGCACGTCCTCTTTAGCGACCAATGGACAGGCTGGTGACTGCACTGCTGCGGCCGTGCATCGCTGGTCTTGGGAAGCAGTCCGCACTACATCAGTCGGTTACATCGAGGGTTACACAAATCTTGCGCTTTTGTGCACTCAGACTTTGGAGAGTTGCAAGGTTTGTCACCACACGAACACACGATTCTGTTTGGCAAGGGTGGGCTGTTTGGCAAAGAGGTTTTCTTCATCTCAAGATCAGAATGAAAGGTTTGGAAGTCGTGTTGCTAAAACAACGTTCAAAGTTTTCGGTGATATGTCCAACGTTGGTAAAACACTCCGTGCAACCACCAGATTTTGGACCCTGTCGACCACAGTTTTTGAGGTGATGCGGCTGCCATTGCTGGCAAGAGTGGACTCAGCGCTGACTTGATCAAGGACCGTTTTGGACCGTTTTGGACCGTTTTGGACCGTTTTGGACCGTTTTGGACTGTTTTCTAGTGGCGTCAGAACACGAGTACACCATGGATGAGAAAGAACATCCTGATAGATGCGGGATGATAGGGTGATTATCATATTGAATGATGATTATCATGATGAGTATGACATAGTATGACAATGATAAGTTGCAACCGTTTTGTAACCAAACTGAGTTTCATGGTAAGATCGGGGAAGATGAGCTGCAATTTGCAGGAGAAAGCCAAGGATGCCAAGGAGTTTGTCCATGCCTCAGCTGATTTGTTGTCACGGAGTTGCGAACTTCGATGGGACGTACCTTGAAGAATTCCAGAAGTTTTGTCAAGGAGTCTCAGAAGTCGTCTGCCATTCTCATGCCATTCTCATGCCATTCTCATGCCCTCGGAGATTCTCGGAGATTCTGGGCAGTGCCAGGCCAAGTTGGCCTGTCAGGGTCTTCTCAGTGCAGACTAAGAAGACTAAGCGGGGCGCAAGCGGCGCAACCGGCGAAACCGTTTGCGGTTGTCGCAGAGGACGCCGTGGCGAAGCCCATGGTTGACCGCGAAGAAACTTCCCGCTCAGTGGTGCCATCAGCTCAAGATTTACTGTCTCATTTCTCTCAAACAAAAATGAATATTTCTAGATATGTCGTGATTTCTTGAATGCGGATGTGAAGTGAACTAAGTTGATCATATTTTATCATTGTATTTCGTGGTCGCTGGTTGCCATGGGCATTCACAGCTGCAATGAAAGTCAGAGCTTTGGCTTTCTTCGCATGCTATCTATTGTTTGGACGTCGATTTGGACATCGGAAGCAGAGGAGGTGATTGAGGAGCTACAGCAGCTACAAACAAGAAGGCAAAATGAAAGCTGGCGCATTATATCATATCGCATTAATTTGCATTACACGGCTGTCGCATGACCATGTTTTACCGTTTTTCTATGACACGAAGAGAAAGTGAACGACTTGCACTTGAACACTGTCTCCAGATACCTGGATCCAGATCTTGATTTGTGATCCATTGCCACACCGCATGGTTTGGTTGGCCGCCGCAGCAATTCCATGATTTTTAGTAAGCTGCCTTTGAGCAAGTCATTGTGAAATGTGTGAAGAGTTTCCAGTCATCTCTCACTTCTGGTTGTCGTCTGAAACCTGACTTGAAGGCGAGAGACAAAGAGCCCGGTTGCATTTGAACTGCTAGTCGATATCCTAATGCATTTATTGATATTTATTGGCATTCTTTTATGAGATCCTCAAACTTTAGAAACTCATGAAGCATGAAACTCAAACCTTACCGTCCCAAGTCTTTCAGGGATGTTGTAGGGTCTTTCTGCACATGCTCATCATGGAGGCTACTCAGAAGGTCTTGTCCAAGGGCTGATTTGTGGACCTTCGTTGCTTGGTGAGCTTGGTGGGCAGCATTGAGTTTCAAGCCCATCAAACCAACATGGTGACATCACTATGACATCGATCGTTCTATCAGAGTTTTTTTGTACTACCCTTAGCTTAGACCCTTAGACTCCATGTCTGACATAGCTCTCCAACTGAAACCCAGACCCCTCGCAGTACATATCGAAAGAGAACACAACTTAATAGTACTTAATACACAATAAACACTTCATGCACTTCAACTATTTGTGAATATTTGTGAATGTCCATTTTGATGCCATGGATGGTTCCATCTGAACCCACATGAAGTTTGGGAAGGCTCCGGGTTGTCGTAAGCCGAGCTCGGCTGTTGCTCGGCTGTCGGTGGGACGATCTGACAGGAGATCCGACGGCATGCAGAGACTCATCCGCGCTATCGGAATTTTTACCTGGCCTACAAGGAGACGGGGAAGGGAACACCAGGAACACTAGGAACAATCAGGAAAGGCATGTGATTGGTAGCACAATGGGTGTACAAAAAGCGACTTGGAGCCATTTGGTTGAGCAGACGTGAGTTTTTTGGCGAAGCCCTTCTAGTTGGAGCCTAAGTCAAAAATGTCCAAATCAAGAGTTTGAGTTGGTTGCCTCCGTCCCTATGACTCCTAACCAAAAACACTTGTGCAGGAGTTGAAAGGCTTGATCAAAAGCCGTGGGCTCAGCTGAAAGATCCACGTTTGCATTTTCGCATGCCATGAATCCTTTGTCAATGAGCCAAGAGCTGCGCCGTGGATCACTTTCCAAACTAAAGCCAAGCAGCCTTCGGCAAAAGTATGAAATATAAGTATGAAATATAGAGCAACCAGTTGAAATTCTGCAAACTTTGCAGAAGTTGAAATTCTTGAAATTCAACAAATTTCATTTTGAGCAGTTGCTTACAGTTGGTTGGCCCATGTCCAGGAGATGAGCGTACAAAGCTACGCGAATTGCTCAGGCCAACTTGGGATCAAAGGTCAAAGGCTCTGAGATGACAAGATATGACAAGAACACGAGCCATTTAGAGCCATTTAGACCCATTAGACATATTCAAAGAGGTTTTCTTATCAATAAATGTCCGAAGAAAGAAAAGCAAATTGTGAAGATCTTCAGCTCGCTAGGCAGCAACTCCTGAAGATCAGCGGCTATGCGGAACTCCAATCTGAGGACCAAACCAGGGATGTCCAAAAGGTCCAAACTGGTTCAGACTGAACCGCTTGGTGAAAAGAATTGAAGAAACTAATGGTTCACATTGTTCACATCATTTATTTTTTTCGCAAAAAACAGAAAAGAATTTGATCCAGAGATGAATGGAGAGCTTCGTGTGTGGCGAGAGTGAGGCATGACATCCAAAGCTTAACAATGTAAAACGTTTCACCTTGGCATGGAGGGATACCCGGAATGACAGTTAGGAGCATTCATGAAACTCATGCCTGTTGGATGGCAATGGGTTGAGAAATACAGAAAGCACAACATGCAAAGTCCGACGGCAATCCATTGAGGTTTCCAATGAAACCAATCAGGGAAGGGAAGTTCCACAGCGGATGTTGACTCCTTTTCTCCGCACAGCGCCAAACACAGACCATTGGGGGCGAGATCCGCTACATTCTCCAGAAGCGGAATCCATTGTGCCTTGGCAGTCGTGCAGTTGTGTACTTGGCATCTCACAGCAGCAGATATCAGCTGATACTCATAGGTCATAGGTTTTGATTCTCTACATACGCTCTTGATAGACATGTCGTCAATAGCATAGAATTGGGCGTAGCTAAGCCCAGTGTATTGTCACGTCTCAGGTCTTTCGTACCTAAGCCTTGTACATAGATACCTTTACGATTCTTTTAAATCATATATGGTGACGTTCCTAGGTGCCAAATACCAAAAAATACTGGCGAAGGGCGAGCTGCGGAAAACTTCTCCGACTCAATGCTCAATAAGTTACTGCTCAAAGATGTTGGCCCAGAATTGCTTTTTTGGTTTAAGGATGTTGCTTCCAAATATCTTGCTTCATTCTAGAGTTTCAAGTGATGCTGGTTCGCGAATTTCTCAAACCAAACTTTGATTTGAGATGCTGATCCAGCAATGTCTTGGCTACTTGACCAGATTTTGCAAGCCGGGCATTGGGTTTGAAGCTTCAATATTTCAGAATATCTTACCCGATTTCGTGCCCCCAATTTGTAGGTTTTGTGCCGAACTGTCTTTTCTCAGATTTTGGACTAAGGCTGCTGCATGTCACTATGTTTTCCTATGTTGTGATTTCTACCCACCGTTGCAACCATATGCATTTGTCGATGTTGTTTGGAAGAATTCTCTTCCGTTTCATAGACCGGCACTAGGGATGCAATCAAGGGGAAGATCTGCGTTGTTGTTTGTATTGTTGTTTGTTTTACATTTTTGCAAAGAGAAGGGTTGAAGTTATGGTACCCTTTAGTTTGATGAAGTATCGAGAAGACAGAAGCTACCAGTTTGTGTGTGCGTGTGCCCCAAAGCATTGTTTCTTGCATGCTTCGTGCCTGTAGAAAGTGCTTCGATTAAGCCAGGTGTTTTCAAGGTTTGCACTTGCATGCTGGAAGGTGCCATGTTAAAATACCAAGTTTGGCCTTGAACCGTCCGAACCGAAGGACAACTTAAACACAGAATCGGCCCAGGCCTTTGGATGTCACGAGAGACCGCCTCCAAACCTTGGTGGAGGACAGAGATGGACAGAGTGCGTTTCGAATTCTGCAAAAAACTTCTTAAAGTTCTGAAGATTTTGGAAGATTTTGGAATGGCTAATGTTATAATGCGGCAAATCATAGCAAATCGTTATTTTTTGTGCTCACCATGTCATTTGTGCATCACCCCCTCACAGAGGACTACATGGAGCTGTTCGAGTTCTGGAACGTCAACCAGGAAGGCCAACCATGGCGCCTTTTTCCGTGTGTGAGTCGTGAATACGGTGAACACGAGATTGATTGACTCAGATTGATGGAGATGTTGATGTTTTTTGTCATAATTGTTTTCCCGGCAATATCGGAGCCTCACAGTATCGGTGCTTTGAAGGTTTTCGGAAGATTTGCAAAAAGATCGACAAGAAATGTCAAGACAGGTCTTGGGCCAAGCAAGTACATTTGCTCCCTTCCATTGTCAAGTGCAGAAAACTGTTAATTGAAACCTTGAGAAAGTGAAAACGGTGAAAATGGAAACGGCATAAGTGTAGCTTTGGCATCCTTTGGCATCCTTTGGCATTCAGGTGCTCCAAGTGGTTTCTGCCCATGGTGGAAACCTGCGAGTTTCGGTGCCAAACTTGACACACCACCCGTGAGATGGACCCCTTTCAAAGCCAAAGGGCACGGATGGGCACGGGCATGAAGTTTTCAGAAGTCCTGGTGAAGCTTAAAGGCGTTTGCATAATTTTGCATGGCTTTGCGCTGCCTCACTGACCATTTCGAATGTGCAAAGAGAATCTGCCTCGGAGGTGTAAAGACTGGGATCTGTCATTGCTACTTCTCGGGCAAGTGCATGTTGGGAGCCCAAGCCGCTCTACAAGTTGCGAGCCTTCATGAACAGCTGGATGGCAATGCCAACTTCATGGACACATCCCCAATCTTCAAATTCATTGCAAGAGCAACGGAAAGATGGATTTCCTGAAATATTTCATGGTGTGAGAACAAAGACTGGTTCAAAACACGGTCTCGCGTGAGTTAGACTTTGCAGATTCTAATCTTATATCGCGGTATATCTGGTATACCAATTTGATGTTTCCTGCATTGCCTGCAGTCATTTTTCGATAAAAATTCCACTGTTTGTCTGAGGGCCTGGTTGTGGCACCAGAGCTCCTCGAAGGTGAGTCGCAACTGAGAGGATTTCTTTTTCGTTCGGCTCTGCCATTTATATTACTCATATATTAAACATATATTAAACATACATAAATCATATAAATCATCGCATTCAGTTTGTTCCTTGTTTGGATTTTGGAATATGTTTGAAGGACTTGATGTTTAAGGCTTTCCAAAGGAGGAAACTGGCAGCATGATTCTGCGCGCAGGCTCTTTGCGGGATGAGGCCAGCTCAGAAAGAGCCGTAGGGTCCCCTTGGGTTCCTTGACAGTTTGCACAGAGCCAGGTGATTCTCATTCCTGCTCAAGACGTCATGAAGGCGAAGGCATGGATTTTCAGATGTTGGCGAGGTCGCAAGGAGTCGCAGGGAGTCGCAGGGAACCAGCCTTGCACACAGGTGATCCTCGGTACTGTGTGTTTGGGGCCACCAGACCCTCGTCCGGAAACCTCTGATGCGCCACCTGGCAGAACGAGAGAAAGTACGTGCTACATTTCAGGTACATGGTAAATGCATGTGTAATAGCAGCTGATAGCATGTTCCGCCAGATCTGGACACGCTAGATTTGTCGTGCAAGTGTCAAACCATACCATACCTACACCACACCACAGCGCACCAAAGCATACCTGTCTGATACTGTGTGTGCATGGACAAATGTGATACCCTACATACCATTCCCTACTGTCGTAAAATACAGTGCCATGAATTGGTGTTGGTGAGTGCATGAACAAATGCGTCATGACTTGACATTTGTCATGGACACCACACCACACATGCAACAGAATACAGCACAGCAATATAATTTCAAGAAAATTCTAGAATATCCAGCAACATTCCGCCAGACCAGACCCTACCATATCACATGTTTGTACAAAATTCGCCGCCAGCCTCAAGGAGGGGCACTTGACCTTTTGAGTGGGATTGTTGACATCCGAATCATAGCTTGTTAGGTTATTTATGGTTATTTAGGTTTGGTGTCCAATTTCAGCTTGACAATGCTGCACTTCATATCTTCCTGAGGGTTGAAATGGTTACACGTGCCGAAGTTGCAAGAGTGGACTGTCTTGCTCAACATCGAGCGCAGACCTATGACCCAAGGCTACATCGCAATCCGTCAAGGCAGGAAAATGAGCGGAAAACGAAGCAAATATCGGCTTCTGAAGCTTAACGGTGAAACTATACCACGTGATCAGGTGGACCTCTGTTAAAATGGCCAATGGACGCAGTGCCCTTTCTTTTTTCAGGGATCTTTCATCTTTCATCTTTGAATATAGTGGATGTGGATGTCTATGCATGTCTTGTGCATCTGCATTGATCAGGTCTTTGTTCACAGAGATTCGCAAGGCAAGGCTTCGGCAGAGAGGGTGGCCTTGGGACGGCACTGGACCACGCTGCGAGGTGAAGCCAATTACGCACCTCGTGTGGTTGGATTCTCCTGAACTCTCACAGCCCGGGCCTGCGGGGAGAAACAAGGGTGAACTTTTTGATGCAGATATCGATATCTGATGCTTCTTTGAAATGCTGAACCAACATGAACCAACTGAAGCTTTTTGAGACAGAGCTTCTTGTGCTTCAACCATCACGAGGTTTTTGCAGCGCTACCGCCGAAGAAACTGTGAACTCTTTCTGCCAGCATGCCAAGTTTTGCTATTTTGGAGGGGGTGAGTCGCAACGGCTTGTGATTGATCGATTTATCAATTATTATTTATTATTATCATTATTATTATCAATTTATCATTTTTCAATTTCTGGACTCTTTATTGCCAGCGCACCTCTTTGTGATCTCCTTGGCCTCGAGAGCGACTTTGGATGACTTTGGGTACTTTTCTCATCTTTTCTCATCTTTTCTCATCGCCAGGGAAGACACCCCTGCGGTGTCGGAGTTCCGGTTTCGCTGGGTCAAGTTCTGAGTGCAAGCGGTGGTTTAGATCAGTTGATAATGCAAAATTGGTCAGTTGATAATTCACAGAGACCCAACAAGAGACCTGTTTCATGACATTGTACTGAATTTGATGAAGGGATTGGTCGGCTTGTTTTTTACATGTTGTCGTCTTGGTTTTAGCACGTGTGGTGCTTCATGTTTTTGCTGCCTACGGCAGGAAAACCGTACGTGCGTTTTGCTTCTTTTTTGAGTATTGCTCTTTGTCTTGGGGTTGGGGTGGGGTGGGGTGGGGGGGCATGTTAACGTTCCTTGTACTTCGTACATGATATATTGCCATGTTGCTAAGATCTCTGGGATCTTTTACTACGTTACGTGTTGCTACGCTGCTGAGATCTCTAGTGTGGGTTGGGGTCGGGGTGGGGTGGGGTAGGGGGGCATGTTAACGTTCCTCGTACTTCGTACAGGATATATTGCCATGTTAGTGTGGGTTGGGGTTGGGGTGGGGTGAGGTGGGGGGGCATGTTAACGTTCCTCAAATTTTGTACAGGATATATTGCGATGTTGCTAAGATCTCTGGGATCGTTTACTACGTGACATGTTGCTACGCTGCTAAGATCTCTGGGATCGTTTACTAGGTTACATGTTGCTACGCTGCTGAGATCCTTGGGACTTTCTTACTACGTTACAGGTTGCTACGCTGCTGAGATCTCTGGGATCGTTTACTACGTGACATGTTGCTACGCTGAGATCCTTGGGATCGTTTACTACGTGACATGTTGCTACGCTGCTGAGATCTCTGGGATCGTTTACTACGTGACATGTTGCTACGCTGCTGAGATCCTTGGGACTTTCTTACTACGTTACAGGTTGCTACGCTGCTGAGATCTCTGGGATCGTTTACTACGTGACATGTTGCTACGCTGAGATCCTTGGGATCGTTTACTACGTGACATGTTGCTACAGAAGAGTGTGACAAAAACCTGCGCATCCACGTCTGATGCACATGATGTTTGCCTGGATTTGTTAAAAATCAATAGATTTTGCATCCACTTTTTTTAACCCAAATTCAGTTATCCAAACTGATCGGAAGAGTATTTTATATTGTAAATTACAGGTGATTGTGACTCTCCTGGAAGCAACCAATCAAAACGCTCGCGCGGTTTCCCTTCCGCCGGGTTTATGTAGGTCGAAGGCGCTGCAGAGGACGTCAGAGAACTCAGCGTTGCATCAAAGCCAAGAGACCATGAGATTTGTCAAAGCACCGACGAATTTCCTCACAGTTCTTTGAGTTTTCAATCTAGGTTAATGATGGAACAAATTCCTTGGCACCTGGAATTCACCAGAAAATACACACCACATTGAATACTTCGCATTGTCTATGGTTGCTCTGAAGGGTGTCGCAGTGATTCACAGTGTGTCTACATGTGTTTTTTCTGTACGAACTCATGACCATCTCTCCGACCGTCCGTGTCTCCGTGAGGTCTTCCTGGACATCGTCTACCGCAACCGGGAACAACATAGCGTGCGAATGCGACACAGCGAGGTCTGGACAGGATCTAGACCTGGAGTGCAGACGGGACGATCAAACAGAATGGATGAAATGGATTGAAATGGATTGAAATGGATCAAAGTTTATCAAAGACTGTCATAGACCATGATTCTAGCTTTCACAAGAAATTTAGATGTGTTCAAGATAAACTCAAAGCAAAAGAGCATTGGACTTTTGGGGCTTGGAACGTGTGGCTGTTCCCTGGTGAAACTTGGAGGTCGCAGACCTTTGCGCTCAGAAGCCAGCTGGAAGAGCAGAGCGGGCAGTCCGGATGCTCATAGATGCCATAGATGCCATAGATGCCCATGCGAAGACGCTGTCACATGCCATGAATCACTTTGAATCACATTGGTTCCTGTGATCAGTTCAGAGAGGTTCAGAGAGCAGGTTTTTACCCACTTTCAGATCTTAGTTTTATCCTTCAGATCTTTCGGAAGCTTTTGAATCCTGAGAATAAAACTGAGTTTCTTCACACGGCAGATCCAAGGTTGAAGAGATCCGGCATCTCATCAATGACAATGGCCTTCTACCTGTGGTCAGCCAAGCTTTGCAGCGCTGTTTTGGTTGCGATTCCTACAGCATTTACCAAAGTAAGGGGTGCCTTAAAAGCTGTGGAATTCTTCAGAATGCAGAATTCACAAGAAGAATGACATGTTGGAGGCAAGAAACATTCTGCTCACTGCCTATTGTATCCTTTTTAGATCTTTTTATGACGTACAGTAAGTACCTGGCTTATCCTTACCTGGATTGCATGCACTGTCTCCATTACATGTTTTTTGGCGAAAGTTCACGGTACTCCGTGAAATGAGATGAAACATGATACCATAAACCATCGTGATTTCATGATGCGACACAGTTTGAAGGATCAGGTGACACTTAGCATTGCGATTTAGATTGCCACATGGCAGCATGATATGATCCTATTGGATATCAAGTTACATCTGACTTTCTTTCAGATCCGGTACATTGGACAACAAGATATGTGCAAAATATATGAATGATCTGTATATCAGATCCGTATATTGTTGCAAAATATTGGATATAAAGATGTGATGTGCATTTATATACCATACAAGTACGGATGCTTGATGATGCTTGCACATGAAAGTGCACACAGAAGCATTTAGAATGAGAAGAGAGAGAGAGAGAAAAAAAAAAAGAAAACTATATATATATATATAACAATCCTTGCAAGATACTGTACACATCCCATACGTTCAAAGGGGATCAGTGGACATGCCCTTTCATGCAACATGCCGTGCACAAGCAACACATGGCATGCAATGCAAAAGATTGGTACCGTACTGCTCCAGATGATGACATGACCACCAGACCACATATATAAAATCACAAAATCATACATAAACATACATAAGCTATGAACATAGTTGGCCATATGTAAACCATACACAAACCACACACATAAACATACAAGTGTTGCATGTCCTGTGGGACGGTGCCAGACCATGGAAAATCAATGTTGGAGATCATTTGCTTTCATAAGACATAGTGCTGGAACTCCAGTTCACAACAAAAAAACAGGATCATGTTTGTAACTTTGATTCTGCGAGCGATGATTTCTTCCGGCTTCTGGAGAGTTCCCCCTAAGTTTCTGTGTGCTTTTGTCTCATGGGTGTCTTTAAAAACACTGTGGGATTTTTTATCTTTCTCCATGTGTAAAAACTTGCCAGGTCAGCTGTAGTTTTCGGCGAACCACCTTTGGCCTTGTGAAGCACAGCATGCAGGCACGGTCTTGTCACATCTTGCCACACACATCCCACACTACCAATTTTGTTCAAAAGACTGGGCCATCTTTGGATATCTTTGGGTGATGTTTCAGATTTGGGAAAGATGGAAATGTCTCAGGACGACTCAGCGCCTCTGGCTGTCCTTGACGAGGCTCCAAGATTCTTCCTTTTTGCTGATTCCGAAGTGAGTCAAACAAGAGTTGGGAAATTGCAATCTGGTGCAGTATGCTTTCAGTGTCGGACGTTGACGTCTATGTTGTTCACTGATGCAGCTCTCATAGAAAGCAAGACCACAGGAAGCTCTAGTCATTCGGTCGAAGAATGCTTCGCTTCTGTGTCGATTTTTGATTTGAAATTGGGATCCCGTGCCAAGTAACTAGTCAACCACTGATGGAGTCATATAACTTTGGCGGAATTGAACTACTCTTTTATCTTTCATTGGGGATCACTACTGACGATTGGAAGGACCTCCTTCTCAGAAAATTCCACAAATTTGCTGAGTGACTTGGAAAAATCTGTTCATATTGAAAGGAGACACTGCATCAGGACATTGTTTTCATCGATGAGTGGCGAGAGAAGAGGACAAAGCAGTGGCATACGCCCTAGTGGTCTTGGTCAGTAAAGTTTTGACACGGAATTCAACACTGAAAACTCAATGAATCTCCACTCGAGCATTGCAAAAGGAGAGTTGTCGCAAGTGTGCATTGAACCGGCTTGAACCCATTGAAAATATTGAAAAAGTTCAACAACTTATGTCGTAGCAACTGGTTTAACTGATTCAACTGGTGACAAACTCATGGTTCACCACGTTCGCCACAGTGACTTGTCGCGTCTCACATGTGTCACCTCTGTGCACCGTGTTGCATGTTGTACGCCCTGGGCGCCCTGGGTGAGGTGCCGCATGCTGGAAGAGGCCGAATCTCCAACGCAGGCAACACAGATGTCACGTGGTCATGTGGTCCACGTTGGCGTCACATGTCACATGCTTCAGCTGCTTCAGCGTCTTGAAACCGTTTTGAAACCATAAGTTTTGGTCCCCTTATGAGGCCAACTTAGGTCAACTTAGGTCAACTTAGGTCAACTTTCTGGTTCTCTGGGTGTTTTGTTGCTCAACTTTGGCATCGGATGGTCAGGAGGGCCGCCATACGTTGGGCTGGGCCTTGTTGCGGCTGAAGCGTGGCGTTGGGCCTGAGAGCGGTAACGAACAAGCATGGCGTTGGGTGGTTGGACGAGGTTGGACGACGTTGGTGAAACGGAGTATTTGAGTATATTTGAGTGAACATGTTCTGCACTACACTGACTACACTGACTACACTTCCCATATTTCAGTTTCTGAGAGGATTTTGATCTGTGATTGGCCAAATTACAACAGAAACAGAAAAGACCTGTCAGTCTGAACTTCTGCCAGTCTGAACTTTGATTTTGATGTATCAGTAAGTGTCCTCTCTGTCACTGTGGAGGCATGTGCCTTTTGAAATTCTCGTTTGCTATGTCTCATCCAATATGTTGTCTGGATCTATCTGGTATTCCTTGTGAGATTCTGTCGCCAGTGCTTGGCCCAAACGTCACTTAGTTCGTCGCTTAGTTCTTTTTGTGCCCGCTTCCTTTGACGCAATGCGCGGCACACGCGGAAGCCTTGTAGCCATTGCGTCTTTCTTGCATGGGTTGCCGGTCTGCTGGCAACAACAAGAGTCAACATGTGTCAACTCTATTTGTAAGAAAAGACGGCGAGGCATGCACGACATGCAAGGCACGGCAAGGCATGATTTTTTACTCCGCTTGAGATTGCAAATGTCACGCCAGGCTCACGCTGTTGGCAGGCAGGGTGTACTGTAGGACCTTAGGAGACCTAGCACCGGCACACACGGGTCTTACACAGGGAGATTTTGCTGGGTCCAATGGTCCAAGTCCCCCTGCAAGTGGAAAATGAAAGGCAGGCGAGGCAAACAGTAAGACATGGGTAAAACCGAGGTGAAAATATCTTGAGTATGTACAAAGATGTACAAAGCACGAACTACGCGAAATGTTCCTTCCTTGTTCAGAGCTCTGCAATGTGCCAGGCGCTGCTTTCATTGCCCCACAGCGTCCAAGCAGGCGAGAACATTCAAAGTAGGTGGCAGACAATGGACCCAGTTTGCATGCGCAATTTCACCAAGACAACGCCACTGTTTAGCCCATTGAAGACAAGCCTCAAGTTTGCTGATACGTGGGATGTGGCTGTAGAATGATCAAATTGTACTGCCTAAGGAACGAAGCGAATTGGTAGGTCTGATGCAAGCACTTGCTAATGTTTTGAACGTTGCCACGGATGCTCGATGATGCTCAATGATGCTCGATGATGCTCGATGATGCTCGATGATGCTCGATGATGCTCGATGATGCTCGATGCTAGTGAGAGTGAGGAAAGGGCCAGGAACTGACACATTCGGAGATACCTGATACGTGGCAGATACTCGGTAGATCCTGGCAGATTCATCGATTCTATTTCGACATCGGACCTCCTCCGAACTTGTAGCCACTATACCACTAGTAACAGGAGCTCCAGTGCTAAAGAGGCTGGTACCACCGCAGCTAAGGAATCACTGTAAGACCAATGTCACACAAAGAAATTGCGACAATGAGACCCAGCCAAGTCTGCAATCACTGAGTTTGTTGATGGGGTCTCTTGCCCAGACTTCCAACACTCAGTATCATTTTGCTATGAAACAAGTGTTGGTTGACAGATGTTGACAGGAGCCCCAAAGTGTCTGCTGGCTTCTTCCAAGAAGACCGTTCACAGGTGACAAAGACTGAAGAGGCACATAAAGCCACTCCTAACAAGTCTGATGGCTTCTGCCTCGCTGTTTGAAAGTTGAGTCAAAAGGTTCTGCCACATGCGCTGTCGCTCGATGCAACTTGATGTAACTCAGCATGAATGTAAAATATATGTGTATAATTGTACGTATATGTAATACATGCATGCATGAAAGAAGTGAAACATGTACAGCATGTACATTTGTTTTTCTGCTTCCTGAAACCTCTTGGAGCACCGCCTTTTGAAATTGCCAGGGTGGTTCGAAGCTAGGTGGACTGTGGGATGTTATCGAGGTGGGATCCTTTCATGGTGTTCTTCAAACAAAACACAAAGCATAGACGGCATAGACGTCTAAGAAAAAGAAAAAGGAGGCAGCCACTTTGGAGTTTAAGGAGCCGCTTAAAGGACTTCCACAAATCTTTGGCTGGAAATTGAGCTAGTTGAGCTAGAACTTCTAGAAGATTCTAGAACCAAGAGTTCTTCTGTAAGAGTTCTGTCGAATCACAACCTATCGATCAACTTCACCTTGACTTGACTCATGGCCTAGCATGGCCTTGAGGGCGTGGACGCATACACGAAGAAGGGCAGTGGAAGCATTCAGGGGCCCTTAGCTGGAGTGGCTCTGCTGCACTAAGCACTACGAGAATCAGTGTCAATCCGCTGTTTGCGCAATGATTTGCATTGAATTTGCATGATGCTCTGCAATGATTTCCCGGTTTTTCCCTGTTTTTTCTTTACCCGTTTTACCTCTCTGAACAGCTCAAAAGAAAGGTCACCGCCGTCGCAAGCATCACAAGCGTCGCAAGCTGTTGGTTTTTCTGCTTTGTTTGAAACTGGACCTAGGTGCCGTGGCTTACAGTGATTTACTTCATTGTCTTCTTCTGGTTCGCTGCCTATTTTCAGCATAGTTTGGAAATAGGACTAGAATGTGATAAACCAAGAGGCCAACATTCGCAAAGCGCTTTCTATCAGAAGGAACTCCCTGCATAGATGACTTGATTTATCTTGATTTTTTTTCTTGCAAGCTGCTTTGAAATCTCCTTTTACACGCAAACTGTTCATATCTTTCCTCTTTGTTTTTCGGAAGCATTCTGCCTCTTGCTACCTCTTGGTGGTTTCTTGTCGAGCCAGGTTGATCAATCTCTTCTGGACTGAGGGTGGAAAGCCCGATGCCCCCCGCCCATAGGCTGCCGGGCACTGAAGATTCCATGGTAGTCTCACAAATTCTCACAATGGCAAGCACAATGGCACTTCAGACGACGCCGCAAAGATACACTGCAAAGCACTTCCCACTCCAATGTCGATGCATTCTGTCATGCCTTTGGCGCTTTGTTGGATCTAGTCTTTGATAGAGCTACAAGTTGATGAAGTCTCAGCAGGGGCCCAACATGGATGGCCCGACCGTTAACGATTTTCTGCTTCTTAGGCACAGCATATCTTTCTCGAGTTCAATGCCGAGCTATTTTTAAAAAAAAAAATTGATGAAAAAATTTCGATGACAAAATTTTGCCCTGAATCGGCTGGTGCTCGGCAGCGACAGATCCGGTCCGAGGAGTCGGAAGAGTCCGAGTCGAGAGGGAGCAGAAAGCGAACCGTAAAACACACCGTGAAACACACCGTTTTTGTGGACCAAGCAATGCCGTTGGAAAGAATCAGAATAATGAAAAAATTGTCGGTATGAAGTGTCCAAAAATTGGTGATATCAAGGTGATGATCATTTTGATGATGATCCAATATACACCATTAGATTTTGGTGCACCTTTTCATCAGACAAATCCATATGTTCGGTGCCATTTCACATCTTGCCGAGCACACGGCTTTGAAGCGCTGCAAGTCTCCTGGTAAGGATGTCTCGCTTTGGATTGTTTGAGACAAGAGTGACGATAGTGAAGATGCTTCCAACACCTTCCAATTTAAGAAGTAGAGCCAATGCAATACCTGCTGCTCCTTCCCTTCGATGTACACAGATTTTCAGCAGCCGCGCAAGGCCGCCCACGTTGGAAAAGAAATGGGCGCCATGGAAACTGGGATGGGATGGCACCGATGGCAACAATGGCACCGTGGGAACCCTTCTATAAACAGCGAAAGGCCAAGAGGCCAAGTCGTGTGCAGTTGCTAACAGAGAAATTTGCACCTTCCCAGTACAGGTTGCAGTAGAGAATCGCAAATGGATGCAAATGGCAAAATATGGCAAAGTTGAAAGTTTTGAGAAATGCACATGGAAGCAAATGATGTTCAGTGTGCTTCATGGGCTGTTCATGGCTGACTACTTTCAAACTCGAGCAAAGCCGAAGCACTTCCTTCACATCATGTGTGCTTTGTTTAACCATTGGTATAACCATAGAGAAATCATATTGGTATCATAATTGGTGTCAGAATTTGCAGATGCACTGAGGCTCCAGCGGGTGCTGCTCAAAAGCTTCGAGAACTGGGCATGTCCCAGGTTTGGCGTTGGAGAAATTTTGCTCCAGTTCACAGTTGTTCACAGTTCTCGTCCAAGAATTTTCTTCAAAGAAACAGCATCAGTCCAAGTTTTTGCCCAGGCGCACTTCTTCTCCAAAGCCCTGTGTGGCACATTGATTTTCCAGCAGGTGCCGCATCAAATTGTGGACTTGAAATTCATCGGAGTTGTTTGAAGGCATGTGACGGCATGTGTGCAGTTTTTGCTTGGCATGCTGTTTTGGTAGAAATGTGTTTTTGTTTACTCGCTGCATTCCAATTTAGTCCTCTTGCAGGCAGCCCTGCTGCGCCTGCCAATTCCAGTGGACTTTTCTTTGCAAACAGTTTTCAGGCCGCTTGCCATGAATTTATTTGCCTTCAAAGAGTTTGGAAATGTTGCTGCGTGCTTCGGATGCCCCTGGAACGAACGCTGATATTGACATCATTGCCATTCATTGCCACCGCCCACTGAGGTTGTCAACTGCTGGTTTTCCATTGCCGGAGAATGAAATCATAGAAGAGTCCGGGGCCTCAAGGGCTTCAAGCGTAAAAAGTGCGTGAAATGCATCCAAACGCATGTTCCAATGGAAAAACTTTCTGGCGTTGAGGTCAATCGACGAACCGGGGAGAAGCTCTCCTGCGTGAATCGCCGATTTGGCACAAAAGCAGCACCCGACCGTCGTGTCACGACCTAGCTGTCGTAGCTGTGACTCGCGTATTTTGTGCGCAGCAAGTCTTGCCAGGTCTCCGGCCACTGAGGCAGAACCCGCATGGGCCTGGAACTCAGGAAGAATGAATGACATGTGAAGCACATTTCACACATAAGCGACATCGTGACTCACATGCCACTCACATGTCTGGTTCCCCAAACAGTGTGTCCGCACTGAGGGGTTCTTACAGTAGGTGTTAAAGGCCGAGGTTGGATCGGGGTATGCTCTTTGATCTCCGGCTTTTTCATTCTAAATTCTCGCTTAAAGTTCCCTTGTGAGACCTACGCAAAAACGGTTCTCGTTTCCGAAGGTCTTGTCATTTTGCTAGCACGGGGTGCTCGTTTTTTGAGCTATGTCCATTTCGTATGGCAGGCATGGCGCTTTCGAGGCATTTTGAGGTCTGGAACGTTGTTTTGCATGACAGGTGCAAGATATCGGACACTTTTGATCTGTGTGGCAGGCGTGGTACTTTCTGGGCGTTGCTAAAACGTTGGCAGGTGGCGGGTCTCGTGACATGTGCTCGCGCAACCATCTCGGCACTTTGTGTGGGTCAGATCGCTCTCGTTGTGGCGCGGTGCTGATTTTTGGCTGATTTTCTAAGATCTTGGTAAACGACCTTGCAAGAGTCCAGGGTGCAGCCTTAGAGGTCCGTAATACATGCAGATCCTGACCTAGGCCTTGTAGAGGCCATTGGGAGCAGATATTGTGAAGATCCCCCTTCCATGATGTCGCACAGGTCCTTATCAGAAGATCTTGTGGAGATCCTGGTGCAGTCCAGGTTCTTGTGATCTTGTACAGGTCCTTGGTCAGAAGAGCTTGAGGTGATCCCGGTAAGATCCTCTCTCTGAGGTGGTTGCATGAAGATCTTGGATACCATGTATTAGAGGTGCTTGTATGAAAACTCTTCTGGGATGCTCTTGGGAGGTTCTTGTCTCAAGATCTTGCAAGGTCCCCTCCAACAGCAGCTGGTCCTTTTATGGCAATCTTGCGAGATTTTCTTAGGGGTCCTGACATGAAGATCTTGGTCACGGTCCTGTAGGATTCCTTGTGGGAAGATCTTGTGGGGATCTTGGTGAAATCCTCTAAGTGGTCCTCGCATGATCTTTCACAGGTCCTTGTCAAAAAACCTTGTGGAGATCCTGCGGACATCCTCCTCAGGAGGTCCTTGCATTAAGCTTGCATTAAGATCTCGGCTATGCTCTGCATTGGTGATCCTCGCAAGAAATTCTTGCACAGTGAGTATTGTAAGGTCCTTTTGAAGGTCCTTCTTTGATGATCTTCTGAAATTCTCGTCGATGTCCTGGCATGAGGTCCTGATGGCTAGACATAGCGTTGCTTCTTGTGCCAAAACATGTTCCGCATGTCTAACCTATTCTTTGCTGCTCCATAGCTACTGTTGCTTGTATCTGGTACATTGGCTTCCTACCCCGCACACTGCTTGGGGTCTCTTGCAGGTGTAATTTTGTTTGGCAAAGATCTGGTAGGGATGTTTGCGAAGTCTGCAAGGCAGCTGAAAAGATGGCTGCGTGGTGCAGGCAGGGCAGCGCTCAAATGCTTCAGCAATCTTTCCAGTTAGTTCCATTCCCATTTCAGGTACTTTCGATCGCTGAATACCAGCGACGGACGGAACGGTGAGGACACTGAACAGTGCTGTACCATCTGGTACCGGCTCAGCTCCGTTTCTTTATGGAAGAACGAGTCGAAACGAGCCTAGTCTTTCCACCCTTGACATGATACATCGTCCAGGCGGGGCAAATGTCAAGCGCCAATGATCCACCCAGCCCAGCATTTTACTTTCCAACATGCTGTGTTGATGCCAAGTTTGTTGTTCTTAACTGTGTTTTTGCCGAAGGATTTGCTGTTGGTTGATTGCAAAACACCCATGTCAAATGAAAGAACTGTAGGAATCTCAGTTGCAGTGCTATTTTGCGACAGCTGGTTGTACAGGATCGGAAAGAATTATTTCCAGAAGATATACATTAGCACTACAGTACCAGGTCAGCCATATCTACAATGATTCCACACAAGGATTACAAGGGCGAAGTGTGATGCTTCATGGCCACAATGCGATGCAGACGAGTCCAGATTCACCACACATATTGAAGATCCACCGATTTCCGACATGTTCTTCTCACATCTTTGGTCTTCACATGTCTTCACCTAGCTCCCCACCTTGGGAATATCTTAAGATCTCTAAGGTCCTACGCTGGTTCCGCTCTGCAGTGATGATGCTGTCGGCCTGGGCCTCGCACTGCGATGTTGCTCGAATAGCCAAAGTTGAAAGACGGAAAGACGGGTGAAGAAGGTCGACCGGTGGTTGTTTCTGGTGCAAAGGTCAGCGCCTTTCTCACCAGCAATGACGGATTTGCGAATCAGGCTCCAGCCCGAGACTTGTAAAGACATGTTTAAAACTTGTGAACATGACATCCTGTATAAACATGGTTGTTCTTCGTCGCGCACCCAGCAAAAAGTTGAACCTTCAAGCCGGTGCCAAAATTCAACTTGTGCCAGATCAATGGGTTGCTTGTGGGAGCCGTTGCACTCCTATGTGTGTTGGTGCCTCAGTTGAGAAAACGGCTCATTATGTGTGTCAGCCTTTGTGTCGTTGGAGACGGTGTTGCCTTAGGTTTTGGCCTTTGAGCCTTTTTCATCAGAGGCGCAGAGAGCTGCAGGGCCATGGCGCCATTCTGGACATTTTACATTTGTGCCATTTGTCACTGTTTTGTTTTGATGAAGATGGCCAGAGCCAACCAGCATCTCTCATCACATCGCACAGTCTTAGTCATGCCTCACAATGCAGCTTGAAGCGATTCCTGCCACAGCCTCACAGGCAAACTGGTTTACAATAAGCAGAGGTACATAGCAAGGAAGAACGCACAGATGAAGTACCACCCAACCAAGGCAAGGCAGAGGGGATGATCAAGAAGGGCGCAAGCACAACCAATTGGAACAACCAATGACAACATATGGGGGCCTTGCTCAAGCAGTTCGAGCAACCAGGATGCCTTCTTGAAGGCTTGTATTGCCGCTCAGGCCTCCTTTGAGGCAGCTTTCAACAGCAAATGACTTCAACATGCAACATGCGACCAAACAACCCTGCCCTGCCAGCCAACAGGAAGAAGGTGGATCTGAAGGTTGGCCTTCTACGCGCACCTTCAGCATTTCCAGTGTTCAGCTCAACCATCCAGCCGGTTCAACGCTAAAACCAATCAAACCACACAGCCCCGCGGCGCTTGTGTTCAAAATAATTGCAGCAACAGCTAGCCACCCAAGAAACGAATCATTTTACAGTGATCATGCGCATGCTACGGTCATGTTAGCAGTCCCCGTCTGAAAGTTCTGTGCTTGTGACACGAATCACAAATATGCACACGGATTCTTGAAGCAAACTGAGCGCATGTTAAGACCAAAGATTCAGAATTCAGAATATGGCCATATTCCAGACAGGATGGGAAGCAACCGGAAAAACGACAAGCATCATCCAATGCCCTGCGGTGTCATTCAAATATGATCACGGAAACAATAGTGACTTGTGGTATATTTGACTCACTTTCTCAGTACTTAGTTGCTCTCTTCCGGACCGCCTGCTATGCAGGCCATTAACAGCTTCTGACCAGAATCCCGAATTGACAGTGTGTTGGTCATGCGTCCCCAAATTAGTTTTGCTTTACTTAATCGATCCGGGAAAGCAGAGACACGCAGCAAAACGCAAGCACACCAGAGCGTGGCCACAGCGATAGTTTATTGCAGATGTTGACCTTTACCATTTTGTAAATACATTGGGGGAAGAAACCACGCGTTTGCAATCAGTAATATCTGTTGAACTTTGATCTTGTGTCGCTTGCATACACTGAATTTCGCAGGTCGGCGATGATCCAGAAACCACGCGTTTGGCCCTCATTTTCGCATTTCTGCACCGCAAGATGTGCATTGATTCAATGAAGCCTGGCCCAGGGCCTTGGCCAACCAGCTACAGACCGCGCAATGCCACAGGCCCATTCCCGCACGCAGTTTCAAATGTATTGGCTACCTCGAAACAGCAAGGGTTCAGAAGGCTTCCACGTCGTGGCTTTGAGCCCTTGACTGAAGTTTTTGTGATGGGGCTCTCCCCGAGGTCTTTGTATGTTTCTTGTTGTTTTGGTCTTGCATCCCATCTTTTTCTTCCTTTCTACGGAATTTACTATTTATTCTCCACATTGACCTCTGCCAAAGACATCTTTAACATGACTATACCGACTATACCTAACTTATGTGCACTTATCTCTTTGGAAATCTAGCCTTGACAACACTCTGTACCTATAAGCTGGGTCTGGCGTTTTGCTTCTGCAAGAGCTGTGGTCCCCTTGGCTTGCCTTGGGCCGTGCGTGAAATAGGCAACACCCAACGCGCGATAGCCTTCATTTGGCGTCCCTCTCCGGGTACGATGCGCCAGATATACACTGGGTATTTGTTCCCCACATCTTTGCGTGGGGTTCTTGTTTCTGATTCTGTATCCCGCCTCCGCGTCCTCCGCCGCCTCCTCCTCCGCCGCCTCCTCCGCCGCCTCCGCCTCCTTTCACACACAACTTTGTCACACACCATCTTTCACCACACCATCTTTCACACGCAACTTTGCCACACACCATCTTTCACCACACCATCTTTCACCCACATCTTTGTCACACACCATCTTTCGCACACCACTTTGTCACCCACCATCTTTCACCACACCATCTTTCACACACAACTGGCTCTGGTGGCGCGCTTGGGCGCGCTTGGTCGCCGGTGACGCCGCGGTACTTTGCGTGGCACACGCGGCACTTGGTGACATCCACCTTCGTTTCGAGTGGCAGGCGTGCCACTTGGTGTCATCCACTTTCGTTTTGCGTGACAGGCGTGGCAGGCATGGCACTTATGGCACTGGGCTGGCTCTGGTGGCGCGCTTGGGCGCCAGTGACGCCACGCCACTTTTGCGTGGCAGGTGTGGCACTTGGTGACATCCACCTTCGTTTGGTGTGGCAGGCGTGGCCCTTGGTGACTTCCACCTTCGTTTTGCGTGGCAGGCGTGGCACTTATGGCCCTGGGCCGGCTCTGATGGCACGCTTGGGCGCACTTGGGCGCGCTTGGTCGCCGGTAACACCGCGCCACTTTGCGTGGCCGGCGGTCGCTTTGCTTGGCGACATCCACCTTCACTGTGCGTGGCAGGCGTGGCACTTGTGACACTGGGCTGGCTCTCACACCATCTTTGACACGCCACTTTGTCACACACCATCTCTCACACACCACTTTGTCACACACCATCTTTCACACACCACTTTGTCACCCACCGTCTCTGACACATCATCTTTCATACCACTTTGTCACACACCATGCGTCACACACCGCTTTGTCACAAAACATCTTTCACACACGACCTTTGACACACCATCTTTCACACACCACTTTGTCACACGCTATCTTTGACACACCATCTTGACCACTTTGTCACACACCATCTTTCACACACCACTTTGTCACACACCATCTTTCACACACCATCTTTCACACACACCACCTTGTCACCCCCAATCTTTGACACACAATCTTTCACACACCACTTTGCCACCGACCATCTTTGACACACCATCTTTCACACCACTCTGCCACACACCATGTGTCACGCACCACTTTATCGCACGCCATCTTTCACACACCATCTTTCACACACCATGCTTCACACACACACACCATCTTTCTTTGTCACACACCATCTTTCACATAGAACTTTGTCACACACAACTCTTCACATACCATTTGTTTTACTTCTCAATCCTCCACCACCTCCTTTGTCTTTCCTTCCTTCCCCGTCCCCGCTGCAACATGTGTTGCTCATTATTGGAAGAAATTGACTTGTGGGGTTATCCGGTCCTTTAATTTTATGTATGCGACTGCTATGTGGCCTTCTTTCAAGAAAAAGATGCATTTGCCGGACCTCCCTCCAAGCTACCGCGGAAAAATGGTGAAACATGGTGAAGAAAAAGGCAGGGGATTGAATGAAATCGTGGTTGTGCTTGAGCTGCGCTTTCTTGCATGGAATTAGACGCTGCAGGGCCCTACAAGCACAAGAACTTCCAACCTGGACTTGCCCAACCCTGCATCACTTCTCTTCTTCACCAACTGAGCTCCCACATCGCGTGCGTCAGGGTCTGCTCAAACCTCTCACTTCTCTCTTTAGATGAAATTAGATCGTGAAATTAGATCATGTCCAGCTCCTTGTATACGCCCGTCACCACAGGTGTTTGAATCTTCTGAAGGGATTTGCATGTACAGATGTTTTGTTTTTTCATGGCAGGCTTTGGGCTTCGCTCTGGCCTCCATTCTCACATCTGTGCTCGCCATGAGCTCAGTGGACATACTTTCTAGATGCTTGCATTTCTTGTCTGAAATTACTGTATTGTGTTGCCTTGGAGGTTGTTCATGCTGCATATGGCACTAGCTAACCGATTGAGCACGGCTCGAAAAGGGAAGTCTTGTGGCGACTGTGTCTTCAAAGGTTTTGTTGCCTGCTTTTGTCAGCAAGAGCGGTTTGACATTTAAATTTTGAGAAATACCATAGTACATAAGAATGGTCGTTTCTGTAATTGAACCGGGCCGTACATACAGGGTATGCAAGTGAAGCCTACACAAGCCACCCGGCGGAAGTTTCCAGAAAAGATGTGTTGCTATAGGACTGCAGGACGCGTTTTGCTTGTAGCAGCCAAGAGGCTTTGCGTATCGCGTTTCGATGATCCCACACATTGCGCGCTGTTTTTCAGTAAACGCTTTTGGTGGAAGAAGACATCATGGTTGAACCAGCGCTGCTTCGGACCACGTATTGTTATTTTTTCTCTTGACATCTCTCCCTCTCGGATTTTTTCCCTTGACGTATTTTTCCGTTGATATTTCTTCTTTTTTATTTAAATTCAGTTTTTCTTGGGTTTTCTCATTTTTTTTACCTTTTTCAAGGTTTTTTTAAGTTTTCTTCATTTTGCTTGAAAATTCTTAACTTTTTTTAACTCTTCTTACATTTTGTTTCACCTTTCTACTACTTCTCATTACAATGTGTCCGCATTTCAGGTTATGGCGGTAATTGTTAAGCCGTGGTTTCGAATTAGAGACTGATCGGCGGGCCCGGCAAATTTTTTGATCCTTTTGATACAAGAATTTTTTTGTGAGATATTTATGTGTAATTCGACTGAGTAGGACGGAATGAAATGACGCGGTCGAGCTCGATTGAAAGTAGGAAGTTTGCTTTGATGAGACACGAGTTCGAGCGAAAATTTACGCAAAAAAAACCGTAAATATCCGCAAAAAGTGCAAAAAGCCGTAAATTCAAAGATTTTGCAAAAGAGCATTTTTTTGCAAATAAACGAAAATCCATAAGACGAGTAAAGTAAAATCGATATACAAATAAATAAATTATTGGAGGAATTTGATTTATTATATTTTTATTTTAATATTTTTTTCTTTGTTTTATATTAGTATATTTTTGTTTTCCTTTTATTTTTTTCCTGTCCTTTTTATTCCTCCATTATTTATATTTATTTATGTTTATTTACTCTTACTCATACTTACTTACTTACACTTACTTACTTATACTTACTTACTCTCACTCACTCCTACTTACTTACTTACTTACCCTTATTTACTCTTACTTATTCTTTATTTACTTACCCTTACTTACTCTTTTTAAATAAAAATTACTCACACTTACTCACATTTACTCACATTTAATCACACTTACTCACACTTACTTACACCTACTCACGCCCTTATCCTTACTTATATTTATTTACACAGACAGCCTCACTTACTTTTATTTCCGCCACTTTTACGTGGTAACTATGACATTATTTTTATTACTAAGGAATCGGATAAATATTTTGATGTTCCTTTCGTATTCTTTGATTTTTGTTGCTTTTGTGTAATAGGTATGAGATAATTTTCTTTACTAATGGATTGGATATATTTTTTGATGTCCCTCTGTAGATTTTTGGATTTGTTACTTATAAGTTATAGGTTAGAACCAGCGGTTGTGTATTATTTTGGAGGATCTTGACGTATAAAATTGTGGGTTTTGAACCTGTTACTTAAATCTCAGAACCTATTATAGTAAAATTTGGTTATCTCAGAATCTATTGCCAATATGTTAACATTTAGGTGGTTTGAAGGTGATGCAAAAGCCTAGAAACGGTTCGGAACGGTTTGGAACGGTTTCCAGGGCAGATGTGTACTTCCGGAAACGGTCGGTACGGTTTCTGAGATGATTTCTTTCTATGTGCAGAAACGGTTTGGAACGGTTTCAGACTTTGATTTTGTGAAAAGAATGACTATATGGCACATTGAAGATCAAATCCATCCTGCCGCATGTCATCTCATGGCCCTTTCATTTTGCCCATCCATGCCGGATGGCTCAAGCACCGCGACATTTGCCGCAGTGAAAACAAGCACTTGGAAATTGCATGCACTTGCTTTTTACCTGTGTTTTTGGCCACCAATTCCGCATTGGTAGCGGAGCACATAAGCTCCGGGGGAACCCTTTGGTAAGACCCTCACAAGGTGGACAACCCTACACCTTTTTATATCCCGCCAACTGCCGAGCCATGTCGGTGTTGGATAGCCTTAGATGGCACACGTTCTCGCAGACGCACGACGAGTCAGCATCTACAGAGGGCAAAAGCGGCGTCCCACGATTCGATGGCGATTCAGCACGTCGGGCCGAGTACAGCTTCAGAGTCAGGTTGAAGCAGGCGCGTGAGAAGGCAAGGGCGTCTGAGGAGCTGAAGAAGCTGGGGCCATTGGGCATCAGGCTCATAAATGGTCTCAGAGGACCTGGCTTACAGGTGGCCCGCAACCTCGCCGTGGACAAGCTGGCTGGCGACGAAGGACCGGACTACTTGCTCCAGTCCATGCAGACGATGCTGCAGCCTCGAAGCCGCCAAGAAGCCCGAGAGCTCTACCAAGCAGGAGCGCAGCAAGGAGGACCTCTATCCCGACAACACGGTGAGAGCATTCCGAGCTACGTTCTTCGCCGGAAGGTTTGGTATGGGCTGATGATAAACTTGGACCCTGAGCTGAAGTTGCCCGACGGCATTGTGGCCGAACAGCTGTTGCAGAATGCTGGACTCAGCGAGGATCACAAGCTCCTGATCCGCACCGCCATTGGAGGAGATGTCACATGGAAGAAGGTGTGCGAGGAGCTGGTGGCATAAGATTCTCGTATCTATGAGCGGGAGTCCAGGCATCGACAAGGAGGACTACATGGAGGCAGTAGCAAGGGCAAGTACATCCCAGTCACTGGGAGGCTATGAGGACCTCTACAACGACAACGCGGCCTACTACGGCGATGATGCGGAGCTCTACAACGAGCCTCGGACATCCTCCAGGCCGAGAGCGAGGTGTTCTACGCCAGGCAGAAGGCACAAGAGACAGGGCACTATGGCTTTTGGTCTCAAGAACGCAGCTATGAGGTCAGAGGTAACCTGACGCTGGAGGAGAAGAAGGCCCGCATCCAGGCTATGAAAGCCAAGACAACATGCAGGCGCTGTGGGCAGTATGGACATTGGGGTGATGATGTAGCGTGCCCCAAGAATGTACGCAAAGGTGGCAGCAAGAGCAAGGGACCGAAAGGAGCTGAATCGTCTATTACCAGTACAACACCCTCCAAGGCCGGCAAAGCTGGCAAAGGCAACAGCCAGGACAAGCCGAGAACGGTGTACTTCACGGTCAACGAGTCCGAGGGCGACACAGCCACCGCCTCTACTGCCTACATGGCCATCAAGGTGGAGGACAAGAGCGCTGACGAGATGCTGGA